AACCCAGGGTTCTTCAACCATATTAATAATTTTGATCGCGTGATTTCAACTTGTTTCTGAGGTAACCTAACATATAAGGTTGAAAACTGAGCGAAACTGAGAAAGATACTAAGCTTATCATTGGTATATGGTAGGTTCTAAACTCGAAAATTTTCAATGAATATTAAAAATATTCGAAAACATCAAAATAATCACGATGGAAAAAGTATCCTGCAGTTTTTTATTGAAATATACAATTTTAATGAATAGTGACATCCAGAGAAACTTTTAGTATAAAGTACTGTCCAACATCATTCCACTTGTTAAGAATTACCTCCAGATCATTATATCATTCCTCGTATTATTCATTATTCTATGTAGGTACTATCATCAATACTCTTATGTATCTCGGAAAGTATTGCAAGTTTTTCGTCGTCATATTTCATATTATTTAATTGACTTGCATAACACATACATGAAATCTAGAATTAGTTCATTTGACAGCTCAATCATTCATAACATAAAAACATAGGTTTTAGTAATTCTGTTAGATGTTATAATAAACAAGGTTGTATATTGTTTAACGAGCATGGAATAGTGGGAAATTATCGTTGCGTGCGAGTTATACACTATAATTTTTCTACGGCTGTAAAAAATTGCAGCGACATTTTTGATTTCTTCGTCTTGTAGCCACCTGGTTTCCTTTCAAGCAATGCTCATCTATTAGACAGCGCTGTCATTGCAGGACATTTTTTTTAAAATAATAACACAATTAATGGAGTCGTTAGTTAGTTATCAGTTAGGGAAATAAAATCTATGACAAACAAAGTACCTCACCAACCTAAGTTGGAATTTGAATTATATTGATATGAGGGTGAGAGAGGGGTGGAATGGATGCTACAAAATAAGACAACTATCTGATCTTCTTAAGTGACGTGTCTATTAATCATAGCAGATTAAATCGTGAAATTCATATTGTATTCGTTTATAATTCGATATGAAAGAGTTTTATCGATATCGTCTCTCTGCGACCTGCCCGTGCTGATCTCATTCGTTGCTGGAAAATGTCGCGTTGCTGCTTTCACACCGATAAACATAGCTTTTCAACCAACTTGAAAATATCAGTGAAATATGTAATTTTTTCTTACCAACTCTATTTCAAAAATGCAGTATTTCATATTGTCAAACCTCCCCTAGCCTTTCATCGGTCTTGGATAAGTAAAAGGAATAATAGAATGTAGTTCGAATAGTTGAATAGTGTCAAGGCTTTTTGGAGCAGATTATTCTCATTATCTGATGTTGACACTATGATTCGATCACCAAATAATGTTAAATAATGGCCGCGCATTATACACATATTCCTAGTCACCCTCTAAGCAGTCAGTGAATCCCTCGGTAAATCCTATCGAATTTCATGCGAAAACTTATCAAATTCCAGTATCATTATGCACAGGGTAATCCCCGCATGGTAATCCAACCCAGTTCGCCAATGTTCCCCTTCCCCTCGAAAGAACCTGTGAAGAGTGATAAAGGAGGGCAGTGGCGTGGTTCAGGGTGGCTGGAAATCGAGCCTCATCATTATGATCTAGTAAACAGGGTCGGTTGAATGGGCGTGTACACCTTAGTAGAACTTTTAACTCAAACCATGTTTATAATGATCCTTTTATACATGAATAATAATTGACGACATAATTCGATCGAAAAATTAACTGGAATGTTTTATTTTTGGACATAAATAATAGTACCTTCTGAAAACAGACCCTCTTATGACGTAGTAACCTCATCTCGCCATAGTTGAAAGAAAATTCCAAACGCCCGACGGAGACTGAGGCAACTGATATATTAATTCTTTCAACTGTGATCTCGCGCTAATTCACTCTGTCAAAAATCATGTATCATTCATCTCTGTCTGGAGTAGTCTTGTTTCAGTATTAGGGTTTTGACGTCACATCATCGCCTCGTTTTCAGAGGTCCGAAAAATCGGGTATTTCAATAATTTTTTATAAAACGTAGGGAGCTCACAGCAAGAAACGGTTTGCGGTGGTGAGCTAGTTTGGGTGAGTTCAATCGAATTATGAAATAAAATTTTTTTGTGAAGCCCATTATGCTAAAATTGCGCAATTTTATGCCTAACAAAATGCCGTTTTGAAATTTGAAGTTTCAAATACTTCCAAAGATTTTTGAAAATAATCGAATATTCGCAATTTCATTTTTATTTTTTATGACATCTATTTGAATGTATAGGGTGAGTCAAAAATGTGTCAATATCAAGAACAAAATTGATCATGGCCTCCTATAATATTGTGGCAGATGCATTCGTGGAAGAATGGGATCGTATACCAATGGAAACGATAAGCAACTTAATTTCCAGGATGCCTTGTAGATTAGAAGTTCTTAGAGTTGCTAGAGGAGGCAATACACGGTATTAAGCAGTCATCACAATTTATAATTTTGTGTTTAATAAAAATGTTTTTCAAAATTATTGGTATCAGTTTATTTAATTAGAAAATTGTTTCTCGATAAATTCAGAAAGTTGGTAATCTGCAAGGATTCAGCAAAAAACCTGTAATTCGGAAAATTTTAGAGATAAATCAATGAATAAAAATACAAAATGCTCGCAAAAGAAGCCTCTTTGGTATAGACTGTAAGCACTTTGTATACCATTACTCAATTAACACACAGGGTGAGTCAAAAATTAAGAATAAATCATGGTTCGAGTTATTCCACCACCATCAAGGAGGATTTGAAAAAATTTCACTGCTTTTTAAGGCATTTGCATTACCTACCAACAAATAAAAAAAAAATCGGCCTATTTTTTTGTATTTTTTTTAAGAAGATAGGTCAAATATCAAGTGCGTCACTTTTTTGGAACTGAGTGTAGTTGTATTGGATTGATTACAGTGGAAACCCAGGTGGAAACTGTTTCGGCTTTCTAAGCCTCATCAGTTGTACTAGGCCAGCGTGTCTTGTTTTAAAATGCCATACTTGACTATTTGGTTATTTCATAACATAATGAAATCATCAGGTTCACTGAATACTGTTTCGAAAAAAAAAGTTGTAAGTAACTGAAATCAATTATCTCATGTGTTCAAAATGCATGAGGAAAGTTCTTTGTCTTCAAAAGTCTCTCGCGTAAATCCTTTTAGAAACTCGATTAGAATCGATTTGACGATAAATTATTCACATAAATAGACCAGATACCTGAATTAGTCATGTAGATTGAGAAATGCTATCGAGAGGACGATGACCTGAATTTTAAATTGCCAAGGATTCTCGATTTTTTTGAGCTCGAGCATGTTGTTGTCGATTAAAATTACGACATACAATGGGTATAGGTACTCAATCAAAATGTAGTTAGTTTTTATTGACAAAACGTTAATGGAAAAACATTATTTAGTAGTAGAATTTCTGTTTGCCAGTGCCAATGCATTTTATGAATGTCAAACTGTTTGTTGACGAATAGACATCGTTACCCTCCTTGTTTCCTATATGAAATATTGAAATTGATTTAGAATTTAATCATTGCATACTGGGCGTCTCAGTAGTGTATTTGGCACTTGAAAAAATAAAAATACAAAATTCCGGATGAAGTATGAACTCGAGTATGAACTTGCGTTGTGGACTATAAATTTAGATTTAAATAAAAAAAATATCTTTGGTTTCGTCTAATTTTATATCCTGATGATGTGCATATATACATATTGATTTTATATTTTCCGGTTTCCTAAAAAGTTCGTTTTTAGCTCGGTTTTTAAATACCGTGTTCAGTAAAAATGTATTTTTTTCTGTGACGGGAAAAAAATTTGACTTTACATCTCTCATGAAATTTTTTGTGCATATTCGGTAAGTCCGAGAATCGGTCTTGAACTATTTTTCAAATTAGAAATTCAAAATGGCGGATCCAATATGGCGGACGAGTTTTTTAATTATGATCTGTTTCTATTCAGGATTGATATCTGGGGGTTTTTGGAGTTAGAAATTATGATTCTCTCGTCAAAATTTGGAAATTCGAGATGGCGGATCCAATATGGCGGACGAGTTTTGTGATTATGGCCCGATTCAATTCAAAATTGGTATCTGGGGGTTTTCGTGGTCGGAGATTATGATTCCTTCGTCAAAATTAGTAAATTCAAAATGAGGGATCCAATATGGCGGACGAGTTTTTAAGTTATGATCCGATTCTATTCAGAATTGGTATCTGGGGGTTTTCGGAGTCAGAGATTATGATTCTTTAGTCAAAATTTGGAAATTCAAGATGGCGGATCCAATATGGCGGACGAGTTTTGTAATTATGGTCCGATTCTATTCAAAATTGTTATCTGTGGGGTTTTCGGAATCAGATTATGATTCTTTTGTCAAAATTTGGAAATCAAGTTGGCAGATCCAATATGGCAAACGAGTATTGTAATTATGATTCGATTCTACTCAAGATTGGTGTCTATGGATTTTCGGGGTCGGAGATTATGATTCTTTCGACAAAATTTGAAAATTCAAGAATGCGTATCCAATATGGCGGACGATTTCTGTAATTATGATCCGATTCCATTAAAAATTTGTGTCTGTGGATTTTTGGGGTCGGAGATTATGATTCTTCCGTCAAAATTTTTGGAAATTCGAGAATACGGATCTAATATGGCGGACGAGTTTAATAATTATGATCAGATTTCATTCAAAATTTGTATCTGAGGGTTTTTGGGGCCGGAGATTATGATTCTTTCGCCAAAATTTGGAAATTCAAGATAGCCGATCCAATATGGCGGTTTTTGTTTTGTAATTATGATCCAATTCTATTCTAAATTGGTGTCTGGCGCTTTTGGTGGTCGGAGATTATGATTCCTTCGTCAAAATTAGGAAATTATAGATGGCGGATCCAATATGGCGGAGGAGTTTCGTAATAATAAATTATATTCCGATTATTCAGATGAATTTTAAATTTACCTACCGGAGTAAATTTCAAGTTTTCTATTCATGTAGACTTCATTTTTTTGTAGCATGAACATCCAACTTTAATATTTTTCCAGGGCCGTCATACAAAAACCGGCCAATTGGCAGCAATCAAAGTTATGGACGTTACGGAAGACGAAGAGGAAGAAATCAAGTTGGAAATCAACGTTCTCAAAAAATATTCCAACCATCGGAATATCGCGACGTACTACGGGGCATTCATAAAAAAATCGCCACCCGGCAAAGACGACCAGCTCTGGTTGGTCATGGAATACTGTGGGGCAGGTAATATTTTCGGAAATTCGCTGGAAATATTGATGAAGTTTGCTCATCAACAACATTGATAATTCAAGTTCGATTTGAATATTCGTTTCATTATTGATTGATGAATTCATGATAAATATCTGATCCAATTTTATAATTCTAAGCCATTACTAGATTTAAGAAAAACCTTTTTTTTTAAAATTCGACATTGTGTACCTTGAAAATTGTGGAGCTATGGACATATTATGGACTTTTCGTCTTAGAATCAATAAAGAAATGCCCCTAGAAGTTTGGCCATATACTTAAATAACAGCCTGTATTTCAACTGAAACCTCATTCTCCGAATTTCATATCAAACATGTTCAATTGGGCTTAGGTCTGGACTTTAAGATGGTCAATTCATTACTAGGATATCATTGCAAGAGCCTTACAAGTTAGAGGAAAAAGCCCCGTTTCGTGTCACCCTGTATAGTATAATCCTATCAGATTCCTTATAAAGTTACCTAAACTTCAAAGAAAAGGATGATGAAATCGTACTCAAATTTCCGGAGTTATTGTTGAGCAAACTTCATCGACTTTTTGGGTGGATCCTGACTTATTTATTTTATAATTTTTTTAGGATCTGTGACGGATTTGGTGAAGTCGACGAAAGGTCAATCGTTGAAAGAAGAATGGATCGCCTATATTTGTAGGGAAATATTGAGGGGCTTGTCTTATTTGCATTCGAATAAGGTCATCCACAGGGATATCAAAGGACAGAACGTCCTGTTGACAGATAATGCCGAAGTCAAATTGGGTGAGTTCAATGCTCTCCATCATTAACACTAAAAATATCATGTACTGATACTGAATGCATTCAATATAGTTTAACATATACCAGGTGATTTTTTAACGTGGCTCACCACTATAACTTTTTTAATATCGAAGATGGAAAAACGAAATTTTGGGGTTGTGTTCAATTTACATTTTTTGACATATTATTATCTACTTGCCTTGCCTCACTTCCGGTTTGACCGGAAATGAGCCCAACTTTCGGTTTTTAAATTGGACACCCTGTATATTTTTACTCATTTCGATCGAGAATGACATTTTAAATCCAACAATACCTCACTTGTCTATATTTGACAAATTGAGTCATTTTTATTTCAATTTTTATCTTTAGATCTAGGATGTCATGGATCCTTTAATAATCATTTAAATGCCGCAAATAATATGATTTTTTCTAGTTAACTTGTTTTTTTAAATGGAAAGGAAGTGGCTCGTCGGCTTTTTGTGAAAGATCATGTTCTTATGAAATTTGATATCACACACTTCCATTTTACTATCACTATTTTTTAAATAATTGCAAAAAGCGATCATACCTACTAACAAATCATAAGTATTCCATATACTTATGCAATGAGTCCTGTTATTCTGGTTATGTATACCAAATACCTCGCCAAATACCTATTATTATACAATTATTCAGAAAAATAGTGGAAATAAAGAGGAAGTGTGTGGTATCAAATTATCAGTGACAAAATGATCTCTCACAGAAAGCCGACGAGCTACCTCCTTTCCATTTGAAAAAATCAAATTAACAGGAGAAAATCATGTTTGGCGCTTTCAAATTATTATTAAAACGACTGTGAATTCATAAGTCTCATTGTCATATTTTTTCCATGTTATTGACAAGTGAGGTATTGTTGGATTTAGAATGCCATTCTCGATCGAAATATGTAAAATTTTACAGGGTGTCCCATTTAAAATCGAAAGTTGGGCTCATTTCCGGTCAAACCGGAAGTGATGCAAGGCAAGTTAATATACTACACACTGTTTTCCACTAACCAACCAAACTATGTTAGCATCTCTATATATAACCGTGAATAGACAATAACCACCAAGTTGATGTTATTTATGGTTGAGTTCACATGTTATATTACTAAACTATACACTAAATGGCGTAGGTCTATTATCCTTATTCATTACCCTATTACTATTCTTATATACCTCTAAGCTTATGCATCTAATTTTCTTAACTAATTTGAGGTTATGTGTGTTATGATTGTGATTGAACATGTGTTCACACGATTTATCTAACCTACCATATTTCAAATGTGCTGAGTGTTCTTTGAACCTTGTTTTTATGGGACGCCTGGTTTGGCCTATGTATATGTTTTATCACAATCATTACAACTAATTTCATATTTTCAAGTGTGTCCGCCTTATCTTTTGAATTACCTAATGAATTGCCTAACTTTGACCCAGACTGTGAACGCTTTCAAAACCTAAGTCTTTAAAAACCTCATCAAGTCCTCTTGTTTGGTTCCTTATCGTACCAAAGGTTCCAGTCTTCATAGCAAGTAAATATGTCAAGATATGTAAATTGAACTATAATACACAACCCCCAAATTTCGTTTTTCCATCTTCTATAATAAAAAAGTTAATAGTAGAATTAATTAAATAACGTTTAATTTGTTGTAGGATATAATTTGATACTTGTCAGTTAAATAGCAGCTAGTAAAGTCTTATTTGGCCAAGTGCAAAAATGACTCAGCTCTGATTGGATAAATCTATTTCTAGAGCCGTCTTGATAAGTGTTCTAAATTGCCGGCATAGTGGTAACAGATGAATCACAATTGAAACTTGTTTAATGAATGACAGATAATTTTTATCTTTATCGTACTAACGGTAATGGGATGTGTTTTTATAGTTGACTTGTCGGGTTTCAGCCTGTTTTACTCAAATTTGTTGGAGAAAACAATACGAGATACATACAGGGTGTTTCAAATGATAATCGGGAAAATTCAATAGACGATAGAAATCGTGAGAATAATAATGAAAGTTCATGTACAATTGTATGTTTTGGAGCTTTGTTCTCGAATTACAAGAACTCCTTAGCTGACTTTTATTAAACTTAGCAGGTTTTTTTAATTAATTCATTTGAATACTCTAATAAGGGATAACAAGGTCCATATTGAGCAATATGGAAATCTATCTTTTGACAAAGTTTACATAATTCTTTTGTGTAACTAGATTCACTGTGATTATTCCAGTGGCGCCCCAGAGGATTCTCTGATTGATATTTATGGTAAAATAAATCATTGTACTCCATTGTTTTCCTATAAGTTCCCGATTTTTCTCCGATTCAGCAGTAGAAGATACAACTTTCTTGTTCCATGACTTTTCTCGTATCGAGCCTAGTTTTCAAGAAAAAGAAGAGGAAGATCTAATATGAATCAAATTTCTGTAGGTTCATTCAAGACATCCATTGAAATCTTTGAAGACGCTGAGCGGACATAACGATTTTTTTTATATTTGCAAGATCATTTATCTGTCAATTATGCTAATTGTAACATCGATATAGCAATTTGGGCTTCATTATATCGATCTGGCAATTAGTACTAGTTGCAATTGAGCTTAATTGCCAGATCGTTGTTACAATTGAGATAATTGCAACATCGATCTAACAATATATTTTATCAATTTAACTCTCCCCTTGTATCAATTAATTCTGATTGAACTGTTTATCTTTCATTGTATTGCATATTTGATTCTATTTTATTTTTTTTTTGTTTCCCTCTATAAACATGGTATGTTTCTTGGGATCAATAAATGTTATTATTATTTGCCAGATAGATGTTGCATTTTTCTTGATTGCTAGATGCTAGATCGATCTGTCAATTAATAACCTTGATTGCAACATCGATCCGACAATTATTAAGCACTAGGTGCAAGATGAATGTTGCAATTAAGCACTAATTGCTAGGTCGATGGTACAATCGTACAAATTGCTAGATTGATTATACAATATTGCGAAATTTTCCAGATTTATCTGTCAATTGAGCTAATTATAAGATCGATCTAGCAATTAGTGCTCAATTTCTTTCAATTAGTGCTCAATTGTCAGATTGATCTTGCAATTAGTGCTCAATTGTAAGATTGATCTTGCAATTAACTTAATTGCAACATCGATCTGGTAATTGAGCACAATTGCAACTAGTACTAATTGCCAGATAGATTTTGTAATTGAGCTCAAATAAAATACATGTGACCATCTGTATTTTTTCATTCAACAAATAAACATTTGCCAGATAGATGTTGCATCTTTCTTGATTGCTAGATGCTAGATCGATCTGTCAATTAATAACCTTGATTGCAACATCGATCCGACAATTATTAAGCACTAGGTTCAAGATGAATGTTGTAATTAAGCACTAATTGCTAGGTCGATGGTGCAATCGTACAAATTGTTAGATTGATTATTCAATATTGCGAAATTTTCCAGATTTATCTGTCAATTGAGCTAGTTATAAGTTCGATCTAGCAATTAGTGCTCAATTGTTAGATCGATCTTGCAATTATCTTAATTGCAACATCGATCTGGTAATTGAGCACAATTGCAACTAGTACTAATTGCCAGATCGATTTTCTAATTAAGCTCAAATTGCCAGATCGATCTTTCAATTAGCCTAATTACACAGATAAATCTTGCAAATATAAAAAAAATTCGTTATGACCGTTCAGCTCAGCGCCTTCCTAGAAATCACTCGATAGCCATAATGTATGAATTTTGCCATTAGTAAACAGGGTGATAATGAAGAAAGGTAGATAATATTTTCAACCCCAATAACCCTGTATCCCGAAAACTATAAGCTCCAAGTTTTAATATAAATTTTTATTTTTGCGAGTGCTCTATCAATTCGGACCGCCTTGTATATTTTGAGGCACCATATTGATTTTTCATGAAATATACAAGGTGTTGCGAATTTCGACAGAATATGTTGCCCTCCAATTGTTAGTTTTAGAGACACACAGGGCGTTGGAAGTTGAAGAACGTCTTTTTAAGGAATATTTTTTCTCAATCGATTTTGGTAAATTATGATCTCAAAAATGTATATTCCACCTAAGTCAAAGTATATGCGTTTTTTCAACAAAATTGAACAGGGATTTCGGGAAATTGAAAATGATAGTGGCGTGGGAAATATAGGAGTAGTTGTCGGTCGGATTTCGCAACACCCTGAATACAAGTAGTTTTGGAACACAAACGGCGATTTGCAATGGCTCGTGAATCCTAATAGAAATAAATAACAGAGGTTGACTCAATAAATTCTACACTTTTAGATCTGATTTAATGAAACAGAAGCTGCAAATTGGAATCAGTAGTTCTCTGTTATTGGGTAATATTTTAAATATCGATACATGTTTTGGATTCGGTTATATATAGTTTGAATTGGTGCCAAGAGACTACCATCTGTTGAATTGAAACCGTCATACCCTTTTTTCCTCAAAAACATGTTCCTGTTCTTTCCAATATTGATTTTTTGTATGTACCATCTATATTCAGTTATTTTCACACAATCTATGTTTGTCTGATATAGGTAGATATAATTTGTAATATTTTCCAAGGATCTTGTTATGAAATTGGCAGTGTACAAATGGTATTATCTTTAACCTAACATAAGAACTACATTTTTTATTTCCTGCAGAATCTAGTTCAAGTTCATTTGTTTGAACTTCCAAACACTAATATGTAATAGTTTTGCTAATATTAGGTTAATATTTTTTTTCAACATATTATATTTCGTTATGTTTACTATTTAAATGAACAAAATTATATGCGGCATTGAAGAATTATTGAGCGTGTTTTGAAACTTGCTATTTATTCTTTTATTGTTTTTTTTATTTATATACATGACATTGAAAATCGATGGGAGAATTGAAAACTAAAATTAAAAATAAGCTTATATTCAGGTCAATGGCCGGATTAGAAGATTTTCAAATAATCAAAGAAATCACACAGTAACCTATGACGAAATATTGTTCTTCATTTTACTTCCTAAATGTATTTTTTTTTTCAATAGTCTGAAAATCGCTGGATTTTTGGTGTTGGATGTTTATAAAAATTAAATGAAAAAACTTTTGAAGGTCAACGGCGTAACATTGTTCGTTTCTCGTGGATGTACTTACCAGAACTCTTCAACTGTTATCAATATCAACATCGACCACATATCAAAAATTCAGTAATAATCTAGTGCAGGATCCTTGAATATTCCTGATTTGTTTTTTTTTTGAATTGAATTTCCTGACTCATATAACAACAGCAACAAATACGAGGTTTCTTCTATATACCCCAAATGAAAATAGCGCTAACTTGATCAACAAAAAAGTTGAGTGCTGATTTCTATCACAAAAGTGGTATGTATATTTTTTCACAAGCAAAAAAATTAACATAGGGACAATATGTTCATCATGCAAAACATTCAAATCGTCATGCGAACGGATAGTGAGATTTTTCCCGGGTTTGATGTTACAATGAAAACTCGAGAAAACTCAAAATAAAAATCTTCCAACACCTGGAAACCGTTAAGCGGAAGACCAACTTTTTTCAATGATGATCAGTTTGCAAAAATTGCATGTTTTGATATGTTATGCTTTATGATTTTTGAAGAAATCAAAAACTTGTTTTTTTTTGTTAAATTAAAGAAAGTCCGAATTATTTTTGGTAAAACTGCACTTATCATGCGATGGGCCTTTTTTCGAAAATGTTTTTTGGTACTTACGTACTTATGTCGGAAAAATACGAATTTGATAATGAAAATGTGAAAAAAAAAACAGTATTTATCGAGATATTTGAAGAAAAAGTTCAAAATTTCGCGTTTATTTTATTGGATGCATTTACAGCTACTTTCTCTTCTTATTTTTTCATTGGACACTTTATATACGAATGATGTAGTTCAATGACATATTTTTATATAGAAAATTCAACACAAAATATGATTTTTATGGCGAGTTTTTCATACTTTGTGAACAATCATACTAGATGACGGCCATTTAATCAATAATCAACAGATTGATCTTGAATGACATTACACACGCCATTATTTTAAATGATATGCTTCCTTCTTTTCACTAAATATGGATAAATCACAAGAAAATCATATTTCTAGTTGACTCATGCAATAAAAAAAGTGTGTCATTGAAGTACATTGTGATATATATATTGTGCAATGATGAAAATAGATGATAAATAAATGCGATCCAAAAGACAGGCGGAAAAGATGGTGAAATTTGTAACTTTATAGTGAAATATCTCAATAAATAATGGTTTGTTCACATTTTCATTATCAAATTCGTATTTTTCAGACAAAAATACGTGACTACAAGAAAAAATTTCGAAAAAAAACCATCGCATGATAAGTGCAGTTTTACCTTATTTCAAAAAGTCGGACTTTTTTTTTGTTTTATAAGAAAGTCATGACTTATTCCTTAACCCCGATCAGTGGATTTCGGCGTTTCGGCGCAGCTGGACCGCACCATCGGCAGACGCAACACCTTCATCGGCACCCCCTATTGGATGGCGCCCGAGGTGATAGCGTGCGACGAAAATCCCGACGCCACCTACGACAATCGCAGCGATCTGTGGTCGCTCGGCATCACCGCTCTGGAGATGGCCGAGTCGCAGCCGCCATTGTGCGAGTTGCATCCGATGCGGGCGTTGTTTCTTATTCCGAGGAATCCGCCTCCCAGGTGAGAATTTTTTCGATTTTTTTTATTTTATTTTTGACCCCCTTGAAACAAATATTAGTACGCCTCTGGAGCTATGAGACATCGACTTTTTTTAATTTTTGACCCCTTCAAACATTTTTTAGTACTCCCATGAAGCCAATTTTTATTGGAATCCACCTCCCAATTAGGAAATTTTGATTTATTTTTCATTTTTGACCCCCTTAAAAAAGTTTTGCTACGCGTCAGGAGGCAATTTCTATTGGAATCCACCTTCCAGCTAGGAAATATTCGACATTTTTCCATTTTATACCCCTTCCAAAATGTTTAGGTAGCCCCTGAAGCTATTATTAATTTTAATAAAGAGATGGTTCCCCGTAGAAACAATTTTCATACATTTTCTATTGATAACGGGGAATATTTTTAATTCTTCAATCTCATTTTTGACCCATTTAGCAAAAAAAATTACGCCCGTGAATTCTCAGGTTCCGTATTTCTTCTTTATTTTTGTGATGCATTACAACCACCTAGGCAGAAAATAGACTAAAATGATAGAGTTTTCTTTTTTTATCACTTGTATGCCTTTGAAAACATGTTTTTGTGCACCTCTGAAGCAGAATTCCAAATTGAGGAAATGGTCAGCTTTGATGTTCGATTTTCATCTGTTATCTGCTGGCAACAAGGAATTCCCGAAACCCCTCAATATTTTACTTGTGACCTCAATCAAAAAAAAAATGATACGTCCCTGATATGTCAGTTTCTATCTTCTTTCGGCTTATATCACGGAATTCTCGAATATTCCATTCCTGACCTACTCTGAAACAAATTTAATACGCCATCTATTGGATGGCGCCCGAGGTGATAGCATGCGACGAAAATCCCGACGATCTGATGCAGGTGTTGTTACTCCGAGGAATCCGCCTCCTAGGTACATTTTTGTATCTATTTTTTCCAATTTTGACCCTCTTAAAAAAAATTTGTACACCTCTGGAGCCAAAAATATTCGATTTTTTGTTCCTTCTTGACCCCTTCAAACATATTTTGGTACGCCTCTGAAGCCATGTTCTATTGATATCGACTTTCCAGATAGAACCTATCATACATTTTTCCATTTTTGACCCTTTAGAAAATGTTTAGGTACGCCCCTGGAGCCATTATACAATTTTTTATTTTTCAACCTTGTTTTCAACCGTTGAGCCAAAAAAATTGGTCAGTCCCTGAAGTTTCAGTTTCCATATTTTTTTCCATTCATATAGAAGAATTCCGTGGTTCTTTATTATTTTGATGCACTACCACCACCTAGGCAGGACATTGACTAAAATGATGGAAATTCGATTTTTGTTTCACTTTTGATGCATTTAAAAAATGTTTTGGCACGCCCCTGAAGCGAAATTCCATATTGGTCTGTTGGCAACAAGGAATTTCCTAAAACCCTAAAAACCCTAAATATTTTATTTTTTACCCCTAATTAAAAAAAATGGTACACCCCTGAAATCTCAGTTTCCATTTTCTCTCGGTTCATATCACAGAATTCTCGAAGTTTCCATTTCTGACTACTTGTAAACTTTGCCCTTGAAGCTAGTTTTCATATTATCAAAAAAGTGGATTGCTGTTGGACGTTCAATTTGTATTTATTTTTTTCGTTGATATAAAAGAATTCCCGAAATCCCTCAATATTTTATTTATTTTTCCCCCTAGTGGCAAAAAATGCCTCGTCCATGAAGTCCATCTACTTTCTGTTCCTATCACATGATTCCAAAATTCCGAACTTTCACTCCATCTATATTCGTGATTGTTTAGTTTTAACCCTCTTAAAAAAATGTGTACGCCGCTGATGTTGCGATTGATCTTGCAGGTAAAGTTTCTGAAATATTCAAACAAATTTTGGGAATTCTTTTGAAGTCCTGATTTAAATTCCCTATCAAAGTACATTCTAGAATTCACAAAATTCCGACTATTTGATTCCAGAACGCCCCAGAAAAAATGCCTGTTCTTCCCTGGAATCTCAATTCCTTCTTCTTAATTTCCATGTTATTCAGTTGATATTGAAATCAAAATATGTTTCAAAATATAATTTCGAGGCTTGTTACAAAATACTCTATTCATACAGGTTGAAGAGCAAAAAGTGGAACAGAAAATTCCATGGTTTCATTGAAACCGTTTTGGTGAAGGATTACCATGAAAGACCATATACGGAACAGTTGCTGAAACATCCTTTCATCAAGGACCAACCAACAGAAAGACAGGTAAACAATGTACCAGAAACCTCTTTAGAACCTAGACAATTAATATGATGTGAACAGATTCAATAAAGCTGCTGTGAATGAATTATCATTCGTCTGACAACTCTGTATCAGATATTACGGTAAAACATTCTTTGCATACATTTGGAATCAGATATTTCATGGTTCCTAAATTCTTCACCTGAACACCTGATGATACCTCGTCAAAAAATTGTAACAGCCTAGGCTGTTCTTTCATAAAACAAAATGCTGAATGTATTTTTTATGCATCAGGACTATTGTCTGCCTACTGACCATTCCCAGTTGCCCTCGAAAGGTACATGGAGTTTTGGAGGTGGTATCAATCTTAAGGAAAAGCTGTCAATGAAAAAAAATTCGTTAGGTCTCCTGTACCCCCAACGAATGAAGTGAGGATCCAGCTGAAATACCACATCGACAGGTACAAGAAGTGCAATCAGGAGAAGGAACACGAAGACTACCGATTTATTAGATGTATAAAATATATTCATGAATAATATTAATCACCCGGCAATGATACCGCAGAATTATCCCCACCATTCGTGATTGCATTCATTTATCATTGTTTGGCGTTTAGGATTGTTGGCTTTTCAATAATTTATGGATGAATCTTCATTATCCAACAATCCTCGATTCCATTCCAGGTGAGGGTCCAGCTGAAAGACCACATCGATATACAGGGTGTATCTAAATAACACAAGATATATATATGATTTTATCCACGAACACATATATTTGAGAGCGTCGTTCTTAAAATTGTACTTCAAGCGGTCTATCTCTGGAGTCTCGATCCAAATCAATATGTTACATGATCTAAGGTTACAGACCGAAAATCAATTTGACATTGACACTTCTGTCACATTGAATTAGTTTATTGTGATGTAATTATTTGTTTTATAGTAGTGATGGACACACTGATTAGGTCGCACAAATCTTATGTGTATATCTCTACCAAGGAAGCATGCTGAACCCAATTTATTTTACCTCCCACGGGAGGAGGCAGCGGTTTCCAAAAATTGGTATAATAAAATGGTACAGGAGAACATGCCGTTACATAACGGAGATGGCTCTAGCGCGCTGATTTGGCGTATCCAAATCCTTCATTTCTCCCTGGGGTGCTGTCGGTAAAGTCGAAAGATAGGGGCCGGCATTCATCCCTATGGGAGTCTTGTATTATTATTATTATTGTTATTATTAGGTGTAAGAAACGGAAGCAGGAGAAGGAACACGAGGACTACCGATTTATTAAATCTATAAAATATATTATCTATGAAGCCTATCGATTCCCTGACAATGATTCCGCAGAATTATCCCCACCATTCGCGATTGCATTCATTTATCCGTGTTTGGCGTTGATGATTTATGAATGAATCTTCATTTTCGAACATCCATCGATCCCGTTGCAGGTGAGGATCCAGCTGAAAGACCACATCGACAGGTGTAAAAAGAGGAAGCAGGAGAAGGAGCGCGAGGACTACCGATTTATTAATGGGGGAGACCACTGATTTTTTTGAAACGAAATTATCGTGAACTCTACTGAAAAACTACCAGTGAATTAATTTTTCATGCTAAGACGATGAAAAAAATAAATTAGAATATGACCATTTCTAAACACACAATTCCTGCGCTATTTGAAAATTTGTCAATTCATTGGTGAGACTGGTGCGACGTCTTAGTCCCAACACGCCTATTGTCCTTGAACTCACCAATCACACTGCAACACTGCAGAATGACGAGGTATCAGAGAGAGATAGCTACAGTGCGGGACTAATACGTCACAGCTCCACCATCATATTTGGCTTTTCGAAATAACGAATGAAATATGCTGATTTCAAAACGATATAGATTCGATTCCCTTCAACTTCAACTCATATTATTGATTGTAGATCAAACGTAAATCATGATTCGTCGATTGAAAGAGGTTTGCTCGGATTTCTTCCCTCAGTGGTCTTCCCCATTATATAAAATATATCTATGAAGAATATCAATTCCCTGGCAATTATTCCGCAGAATTATCCCCACCATTCGCGATTGCATTCATTTATACGTGTTTGGCGTTGATGATTTATGCATGAATCTCGATTTTCGAACATCCATCGATCCCGTTCCAGGTGAGGATCCAGCTGAAAGACCACATCGACAGATGTAAGAAGCGGAAGCAGGAGAAGGAGCGCGAGGACTACCGGTACTCCGGGTCGGAGAACGAGGAAGAAGAGCCGCAGCTAGCCGGCGAGCCGAGCAGCATCGTGCAGGCCCCGGGAGGGGACACGCTGCGCAGGAATTTCCAACAGATACAGGAGGGCAGGACGTTGAGTCAAGTCGAACCGCCACCGAGGTAAAGTAGAGTTCCTAAATGTACTCGACACTGCTGTTTTGACGTTTTTTTGTATATTAGAGTACGGACACAATGACAAGCAGTGACAATCAGATATAACCACAAATAAATTGATGGAAAAGGCGGGAACTGACAGTACACGGACGTACATGACATAAATTTCAAAGATTTGACAAATTTAGAGAATTTACGAGAAAGTTTGTGCAGTTTCCAACTAACTAAAGTTGAAAAATCTGGATTATTAATACTTTGTAAGGCCCCAATTGTGATGTATTGATGAAATCAGCTCTTCAGGAAAAAATAGAATTGCAATGAAATACAGGGTGTTCCATTTTGAAGAACAAAGTTGCTGCTACTTTCCAATAGAAGAGACAAACCGCATCATCGGAAATATTTTAGTTTAGAGAATATCCGATTATGCTTTCCATCAAAACGTCAAGTGTGTATAATTACAATAATTCTGATGCATTTATTGTTTATTTTTACAGAAGTGGCAAACACAAAGACAGGGAAGAAATTCCGGAACCTGGACCACCAGCTAGACCCCCTATTCCGACGAGGGTGATTGTCGTTCCTGATCCGGCACCACCAAGAAGGTTAGATATTTTCTAAAAAAAAATCTCGTAAAATTACAAAAAAAACACGTCTCTGTTCTCGATTTATATTTGCCTTCTCTGAGCTTCTTTCAACTACTTTATTACGATCATTTTAGGCCGTTACCACCCCCACCAGACAATAATTTCGGAGCTTCAAAATCTCAACAGCAACAACAGATACAGCAGCAGAGGAATTCCCAGCATCAGTTCAAACCGATGGTATGTAATTGAACTACTAAAAACAATTGGTAGATGTAATGAAAAATGTGTAACCTTTTCTCTGTCTTTAATAATATTTGTTTCGGCATTGTCATACATGTACCACTAATTTTTTCGTGGATTCGTTTAATTATTTCTAAAAAATTGTTTGTTTTGTGTTGGTAGCACTATTTTTTCATCTAATTTAGTTCTTCTGTTTCTTTCATGTCCATTTGTCACTCCTTACTACAGGGTCCTGCACGTAAACCTGAGGTATGTTTAATGTTTCCTATTTCCTTTTTCACCCAATTTGTGTTTGTATGTTTTGTGTTCTAATATTTCTCTTCCTTTATTTAATGCTATTTTTCTGGAACATAACACACACCACACAAAACATTGAGTATAGAAAGAAGTGTGCAGTGCTGTTCTTGAGCAAAACTCGTTTTATGATTTGTTGGATCGCGCAGACTTCAATGTTTTCGTGAAGAAGGAATGTTTTCTTCGGAAATGTGTCAGGATGAGATAGAAAAACATGGCGTTTTTCATTGTGAAAAACAGCAGGTGATGAACCGCCTACCTTACACCTTAGTTATTGAGTCACCCCGTCGGATAATAAAAATTCTACCAATGTAAACAAATACTGGGTAAATGGGATGGATAAACAGACATGTACTTTATGACTGTCCATTTTATTGAAGAACCCATAATTTTCCCAAAATTAGCCAAACTTCACCAGCGGCTTCTACGACCAAAATAAGGAATCGATAAATGTCTCCCTAATGGAGCTACGGCCCCCTAAAAAGGGCTCCGGAAGATGACTTTTCTTTAATATTTCCGAAACTCCATGTGATAATTTGATACAACCCTGTACAAGAACTTATCTTTCCATGCCCAACGCAGTAAAATCAAATTATTCCAAAATTTCATTCAGTTGTTTATGATACAGGGTGGGACTACATTAAATATTGTTCAAACTTTTTTGTAAGCATATTGTTGGCTAATTTGATTTCGGTTTATGAAAATCCATACCTCACAAAAAGAAGGTGCTCTTGTTCCGTTTCAATCAGATCTATTATTTTCGAGTAAAATCGATTTAAAAATATTGTTACATCTCAGATCTCACATACTACTACCTCAAATATTGCTAATATTTTAGGTAGTCTCACTCCGTATTATACACTCCTGAATGAAATTTTGAAATGATTTTATTTTCACTGAACTGGGCATGGAAAGTTGAGTTCTTGTACCGAATTGCATCGTTTTTCCACATGGCGTTTCGGAAAAAAATCATCTTCAGAAGCTTCCTTCCAGGAGGCCGTAGTTTCCTTAGGTGATATTGATCGACTCATGTTTATTGGTACTTTTCCTCCTATTTTTGGACTTGAAAGCCACTAGTGAAGTTTGGCTGGCTAACTTCGGGACATCCTGTTAACATGTTTATATATCCCTATTATGAACAAAGATGTTTCTTGGGGTAATAAAGAACAACAACAATTTACCATTCAGTTTGGTGAAGCCCAAAATGTGTTCCTTAAGGGTAATCTACAATCAGTCCAATAAAACTTGTGGAGATGGTTTTGTTCAGTTTTTGTATGAACTACTCTACTTCAGTCAGAATTAATCATGTACTCCTTGCAGAGATTATGTGAGATAAGTTTTTATGAGAAATTTTACAATTTTCGGTCTTTGACATTCAAATCAGTAGCAGTATTAAAAGATTCTAAATGGAGGCATCGTAGATAGACACAATTTCAATACTCAAACACATTTTTATTCACTCAGGACGGCTTGTACAAAGATGACCGTTTATAAAAATACAACATCGACAAGTGATTCGTTCTACGATATTAATCGACTGAACCTGCTTCAGTCTTTTATCACACGATGATTACGAATACAGATGAGTTGTCGAGGCCGCTTGTGATAAGGCATTCCTTAGGCGTTCTTCTCATTTACGGGGTGATTTGAACACCGTCGCTAACACTATAAAGAATGTCATATCTCTGACATTGATTCCACAGAGTTATCCCCACCATTCGCGATTACATTCACTCATTCCTGTTTGGCGTTCATTCAGTCCGAACTTTCCCCGCTAATTCAGGAACTCGACGCCTTGGCCGCCCACCTGAACGAACTCGGCGTCCAGCAGACCGCCCAACCGGAGGCGCCGCCCCGCAACCGCAACCACCATCACCACCAACACAACCACCAGCCGCCTCCGCCTGCCGCGCAGGCGCAATCTGCCGCCAACAACAACCACGTGCCGCCGGCGGGGCAAGGGGGCGCTTCGGGGGCGGGCGAGGTGGACAGCGAGACGGACAGCGAGCCGGAGGACAACGGGCGGGCGAGGAACGATGGGACGCTGTTGGCCAGCGATCCGCCCAAACCGCTGTGAGTACATGCAATGGGAATGCTCGGCTGGGCAAACAATTGGATTTATTTGAGAATGGGCCTTTCCAGGGATTTCTAAAAAAAATAATATATCCCGAAATTAATGATATCCTCGAAATCGTTACCCACATCATATCCATATCCCATCAACAATACGACTCTGAAAAGACCTGTTGTGCTTAATGATCTAGGAGTAACTTTCGACCGCAAACTTACTTTCACTCCACACATAGAGAATATGGTATCTGCAGCGAATCGACTCCATGGTTTTCTGATTCAAAATAGTAGGGATTTTCAGCAAGTTTCAACGTTAACAACTCTTTTTCACACACATATATAAGGTCTAAATTAGAATATGCTTCCATAGTTTGGTCGCCACTATACCTGGTACATATTGATTTAGTAGAATCTGTACAAAGACGATTTTTGAAGTACCTCTCCTTTAAATATGATGGAGTGTATCCTACAATGGGCACTGCGCACGAACTATTACTCCAGAGGCATAGGGTTAATAGTCTTTCAGGACCTATGTTTATATGAACTTCTCGTCTTAGAATCACCCGAATAATCGTCATTTGAAGTTTGACCACATACTCAAATAACATCCTGTATAAACGCTAGTCTCTAAAAAGTTTTTTTTATATATTTTTTCATTTTATACTTTTCAGTATTTTTATGAATTATAAAAATATCCTCAATGAAAGCCCCAACATACCAGTGTTGAATATAATCGGACTATAATGACAAAACTCATCCGCCATTTTGAAGCCGCCTGTTTGGATTTCACAATTTTATAATAATAATAATAGATAGATACAGATACCAATTGTGAGTAGAATCGAATCATAAATACAGAACTCGTCCGCCATATTGGCTACGTCATCTTGAATTTTTCAAGTTTGACAGAAGACTCATAATAATCGACCCCAAAAATCCCCAGAATCGGATCAGAATTTCGATGCTCGTCCGCCATATTGGATCCGCCATCTCTACTTTCCTAATTTTGACGAAATAATTATAATCTCCGAATCCAAAAACCCCCAGTTACCAATTTTGAATAGAATCGGATCAAAATTACTAAACTCGTCCGCCATATTGGATCCGCCACCTTGAATTTCCAAATTTTGTCGATGTATTGACTTCATTAGAAGCTAATTTTATTAATTTATTCCTGACAAAATGAATCAAACAACATATTTCGAGATTATGTATTTTTTTCCATCTCTTGGAGCGCACGAAAGTAAGATCCTATAATGTTCGTGGAACATTGTGTGTACCTAGAGAGGATAGGGAGAGGAGGTAGGTGTTGAATTTTTTTTTATTGGAGATTATAAGTTCTTGTGAATACTTCCATAGGCAAAGAATTCCAAAGCTTCGCCGTTCTGTAGACCAACGAGTTTTGGTAGAGTGTTGTTCGGCATTTCTCATGAAATTTCAGATGGAAAATGCACACTAATTGATTACAGGCATACAGATACAGATAAGACAGAAAGACAGATACCCGGCCATGTTTGAAACTAAATAAAAGCTTCTAAAAAAGGGGGTTAAATTTTACGATACCGGAAAGGCCCATTATTTATTTTTGCTACCTTCCATCTACTAATTCATGCTTTTTCGAACACCCTCTCCTAACCCTATAATTTCATCGTTTCCCCAACTCATCATAATTCCATTTTAATCTCCACCCCCCTTCTCCCCATATTTATTTCTCCACGACCCACTACGTTCTCCCCCTCCACCACTCCTCCTTTTTTTCGTTTTCGTTTTGGTCAGCCCCGAGTTCTCTTACAGGGCCGGCCTGGGGGCGGTGCCAGAGGGGGCAGCCGCTGCGGGGGCGGCGACGTCGAACGCGGGCGGTGGTGCGCCCAACCGCCCGCTGCCGCCCACGCCCGATGATGATGACGATGCGCCCGGCGGCGATAAGACGCTAGTGCTCAGAAAGGTAAGGGTGGAAGATGGTCTTTTTTTTTTTGGAAAAATCGAAGGAGTTTTTTCTTATAGTTCTTTTATGATGGAAATCTATTGGGTTGTCTATAAAATGAAGGGAATTTCGATTTCGATCAATATCTTATTTATTGAAAAGGAATATTCTCAGATATATTTATTAACACAAAAAAATGGATATACAGGGTGTCTGTAAAAGGTTGGGACATGGCTCGGCTGTGGACTCCTGGGATGAATACAATTGTATGTTAACACGTTGAATGCCATTGTCCAGTATACTGGACGTACGGGAACTTCACACGTATACCGCGTCCACTTAACTGGACGCGTTTAAACAGCGGGTATATTCTCTATCTTTTGTCGTCGGGCCACGGAGATGGTTTAATATGTATAGTACGGGATATAGTTTCTTTTTTGGGCAATTGGGATAAAAATATTAGAACATTCAGGCTAAAAAAAAGGTGAAGCTGTATGGAAAAGAAAGGGGCCAGTTTTGCTTATCAACTGGAAAGATAAAAGAAATGTCCGAATGGTAAGTACTCTGCATAAACATTCGATGGTTGAAATTCAAGGAGAGAGAGCTAATAATAAGATCAAACCTGCATGTGTTATTGATTATAATAAACACAGGTCAGGTATTGACCGCTCCGACCAAATGATGTCGTATTATTCCACTCCAAGAAAAACCTTGAGGTGGTACCGCAAAAGTTTTTCTCAGCATTTGGTGGATTTGTGTATGTGGAATGCTTGTTACATTTATAATCTTCATCAGAATGAAAATATTAGCCTCTTGGACTTCCGTGAAAAAGTAATCATAAAGCTTATAGATCAGCAAATAGAAACTTCTGTTGAAACTCCTCAAGCCGAAACAACAAGAACAAACAAATTTCAGTTTTTGGAGCTGAATCCAGCAACAGGGAAAGAAAACTTCGCAATGAAAAGATGCCGCCAATGCTTGAAGATGCAGGAAAACAAGACAACTAGATATTTTTGTCCTGTTTGCCTGGAAAAACCTGGTCTTTGTGTTTATCCTTGCCTCAAAAATTGGCATGTATCGTCCATTTAGGCTTCTCATATCTCGATTCAATCTTATTTTCAATTATTTTGTATGCATCGAAGCAAATAAATGAGTAATGCACTTAGTTCTGTTTTTTTCTTGATATGTGTATGTCCAGTTTACTGGACGGCGGGCTATACATGGTAAAACCCCAAATATAGCCTGCTGTGCAGTAAAGTGGACAGCTGCTGGTGACCTTGAAAACGTCAGCATGACCATATATTTACAAATTACGCTTTAAAAAATGATAATTTACTCAAAACTAGCCTTGGTTTCTCAGAGCCTCCTAGTCCAGCCATACGTGGCATTCAACGTGTTAACATAAATAAATGAAATGAAATGAAAAGTTGATTTAGGCCAACTTACCTATATCCAAAATCGTTTCGTTGAGTTGGTACAAGGCGTTAAAGTGCTCACCTCAGGTCCTGAATAGTTATCGCTGAATTTGTAACGCGAGAGTTCTTGTACATCCCGCGAGGACCAGCAACATATCAGTTTGTTTAGAATAAGAATACATTGTAGCCATGATCAATAAACAGTCCGACTAATTAGATTTATTTTCAAAAATGCGCAGGAGGCATCATATCAGAAATTATTTATTTGTGAATGAACCTCGAGACTTATCAAAAATTAACTCGATACAAAAAATATTTCTGAAGAGATTATCTTTCTGGAAAAAAAAACTGGAAGTTTGCAGTCCGACCTCTGAAAAGTTATCACGAAATTTGTACAACAACATGGTTGTTTGAAACACTTCCTTCCAATACGATTCCATTGACTTTGATCTTGTTTGAAAGTTAATTGAAGTAGACAGAACGTCAACTCCATATTCATTGGATTATTTCATAAAACAAAATGACGGAAATACCTAAACTTGGCGGAACTTGAAAACTTTCTAGACATTTTCCGATTGACACTTTATAGTTTTGCCACATATTGTTTTTCGTGTGATATTCTGAGAGCGTGGACTTTACTGAACTGAATAAGAGGTCAAACATGCAAACAAAAATGAAACTGTCAGTTATTTTTTTACGAATTTGTTTGTTCTGTTCAGAAAAGTCCACGCTTTCAGGATATTGTACAGTGCTAGTATGAAGATTTCCAGCAAGTTTTAAGTTCGGACAAGTTTAGGTGTTTCCGCCATTTTGCTTCAGAAAAAAATCAATAAATATGGAGTCGACGTTTTGTCTTCAGCCAAGATCGATGGAATCGGTATAATAATGAAAAATATATCAATCTAACATAAAATTCCGTTAGTTTTTTGGACAATCCAGTACATTCCTTCATTTTTATTATGATAAAAATATCTGTGGTTTCTTGATGTCAGTGTGTTGTGGTCAATTGAATGTGGATTGGGAACTATAATGGGTGTTTGAATTGAAGAAAAAAATTGTAAATTTTGTAAAAAAAAATTGTCACTGTACTTCGAAGTTGAAATCGAATCCCCAGAAGTTGAAACTTGTTTTAGGTTAGGAAACTAAGAATCGCAAGGAAATATATTTTTCTATGTTAGCATTACTGTGAATCAATCGCTTGCACAAGTGCCTAATTGCTTTACAACTCGAAAAATGTACTTCACTTTGTCTACGACTACACTATAACTGCTTCAGGGTAGTACATAATATATTGTGTTAAGACAAACATATTTGACATAACCTATACCTGTCTTATGACCTTTTTGACTTATTGAAGAGAAAAAACTTGCTTGTCATGTCAATAATTAGATTTGTGATACATATACCAGCTGTTTGGTTTACAGTGATGCAAATATAGAAAACTAAAACCGAATCACCGCTCATCAGGGTGCTTTCTGATTTGATTTTTTTTCTACTGCCAGAATATGAACTAGTTGATACAATTGCTCAGTAATTAATTTCGATATTAAATAGAAAATTACTCACTGTACAAAATTACTTCTTCTAGTACGTGGTGGTATGTAAATTGTTAGAACGACTGTAAAATTTGGTGGGTGCTTCAAAATCCTTTATGGTTCTCAATTTCATTATTTGTTTGTGTGACTATTTGGCTTATCTTGGATATTTTCGTGTGCCTTTTATTTTTCTTTTCGTGAGTGGGTTGTCTTTTTGTTCTGTTCATAGTAAGATACCATCGATGAACTGGAATTTGAACAGAATTTTATTCCTACTGGAGATTACAATCAACAGTTACATCATCCTGTCTTAGTCCGTATTCATTATTGGACGCTTTTCATTCATCTCTATGAAAACACTACCATTGAGTTCTGACAGAAAAATAGAGAAATAATGTTGCTGTTCCTTTCTTCTTATCTGGAAAACAGCAGCGTGTGAAAAAAAAATCAGCACACCTGAAATTTGCCAATCTTAGAACAACCTTTTCACTTTGAGTGTCATTTTGTTCTGGAATGATCAAATAAATTTATACAATTTCTGAAAAATTTTCTGGACAACAGTGTGTGGGAACTTGTTTCCTTTTCAACATGTAATATGCCTTCGATTCTTTATTAATGAAACACTCTGTCCTGTGCCAGAACTTGTCCCGTTCAATTTTTTTCTCTCGGATAATATATTGAATTTTTTAACTCAATTGCATACGATACTGTGAAGTCAACAAGCTCTAGTCGAGATACCCAACGACAGATCAACCTTTCTCATAGATCTTTGAGGTGTTAGGAAAGACGTAAAGACACCCCCTCGCCCCCCGTTTAGCTCCTGTAAATATTTTTATGTTCGATACTGTGCGTGTGGCAGCAGCCCGCAGCTCATTTAGCCGACAAACCGCTTCGACAAACGGCCGAAGACATCGACGAAGCTACCCTGCTCAAAGACTGGGACTTCGACAAATTCTTCCCGACAAAACAAACTCCTTCCTCGTCTACCAACGGCAGCTCCAAAGCTAGCGAAAAAGACAAGAAACAAGGCCACCGCCGTATGGAGAGCGACTCGAAAATGTCCAACCCGTTTTTCAGGGGCTTCCGCCGAGAGAACTCCGACTTTTTTCCCATGTCCTCCAGGCACTCTGCCATTTTCATCGACAAGACCGCTAGATCCAGCGGCATATTTAACAATAACCGGCGAGGCTCTGATGTGGGCGTGTCTAAAAAGCCTGCCGGCGAGCCTGTCTTGATGGAGTACATCAAGAAAACCGACTCGCTAAGTTCCACGCCTAAAAGAGAGCCTAAGCGCGGTTACCAGCCGGAGAAAGATGGCGGGCTGTTGAGGAATTTTATGCGTCCGAGACGCGAAAAGACAGAGTCCGATATAGTTTTGAGGCACTCGGAGGCGAGACGCAGCATCAGAGAGAGCCTGGAGGCGAGAAGGAGAGAGATAGAGGCGCAGTTCACGCGCGAGGCGGACGATATGCGCAGGCGCAGCTCGAAGCCCATCGAGGTGGGCTCGCTGAATCTGTCCGTGTCTTCGACGGGCTCGAATTCCACGGCGGGGGATGAGTTTTCTTTTGTTCAGGTAATTTTTTGGTTTGTTTTTTCGGGTGCTTTTTCGTTTTAACTCTTTTTCTCGGATTTTGTTCATGGAAATATGGATGTGGTCCATTGGAGGTTAATATTTTAGAGTTAGATGATTGCTGTTTTTTTCTTAGATTAGGCTCTAAACACTGATAACTTGATTTGGAAATGTTAAATTTTTGGTGATGGAACTGCGGATTCATAACAATTAGCTTATTTCTTTGTACTGTACTTACACGCTTCCAGCTGTGTACCTAATAAATTGATGATAATGTTTTTGTCGAATTTTTATCTTGGAATTTCAAGTATACCGAGTGACTCGGAAACAAAATTAACCCCTCTGTTTCTTCGCTGTTTCAAATTTGGTAGATTGATTTGATTTCATGAGTGTATAATTTCGCTGGTATCGGACCAAATATGTCACTTCCGGTTTGACCGGAAATTACGATTCAGTATGTTACCTTTTTCAATGATATAATCACAATCATACTTTCAATCTACAATCTACTCATAAAATTATAATATTTTATAAAAAATCACTTTTTGTATTCTCCTCGTAACGTTTAGGAAAATTATCAAATTGAATATTTTGTTACGTCAGATTTTGCAGTTTCAATAATAATTCCTAAACAATTCAATATCATAGCCAACTAATATGAAGTTGAAAGGTTCAATACAATGCAAGTAGATATAGCATGACGATTTTCTTCATCAAAACTAAATAGGAAACAGAAAATTGAAATTTTTGCTGGCTTGTATTCCAATATGTATTGGAGTTTCTAACCAACTAACCAACTTCAAAAAATTCCATGATAGCATTTGAAATATGAGTTCACTGGTTTTAAAAAATGAAGAAAAACTAAAATTGTAAAAAATAGTTAGTCTGTATAAAAATTATTGCGTAAGAACTTCGACATCGAATTATTGGTACTCACATGCTAATGTTTCATTATCCATAGCACACTTTCCTGAACATTTCCCGTTACGAAGGGAATACAAAAAGTATTTTTTTGTGTAATCCCAATGATATGACTAGATTGTGGAGTGAAAATATGATTGTGATATATCGTCAAGAAGGTAATTTTATACTGAATTGTAATATCCAGAAAAAAAATATGCTACTATGTATTGGAAATAAAAAAATTGGATACACTTACAGTCAAACCGGAAGTGAGATATTTCGTGTGACACTAGTAAAATCACACACGCATGCAATCAAATGGATCTACCAAATTTGAAACATCTTTGCCAAATAACAATGAAGATACAGGGGGGTGAATTGTTTCCGGGTCACCCGGTATACCTACTCAACATTTGAGTCGTATAGAACCAAAACACTGTATTCGTCTCATTTTGCGATATTTCTACAGTTACAAGTTCTTTTTCTCAATGCCGGTCGTATATTAAATATATAAAGGGGTCCACGATGACTTCGGTAGGAGTAAAGATAGTTTTTTTTTATTATAAAATTCTGTTGTTTTTTGTGTTAAGCACGTGGCATTGATCACACTGTTATTGGTCAAATAGAAAATACGGGGTTTTGATGCCGAATATTCGAGGTAAATATACAGTTTTGATTCAAACATTTCACACGGTTTTTTTAGATAATCGTAGCTTCGTAGTGGCCGTTGAAATAGTATTTACAACCGAACAGATCTAATGAAGCGACCGAATTTGTTCATTACAGTTCGATCTCCATAAGAGGAAAGTGGCAAATTAATAAAATATTTCAACGGTCACTGCGACAGAGACTCTGTATCATATCCAATAACTGACTCATTCTTTGTGATTTTGGCGAATATCAAGTTCTGATTCTATACAACTCGTTTCACTTTCAATCTCTTCACTATTTTTCGACAGATTGTTATCATTTTGTTCTTAATATCTCATATAATAGCTTGATATTGTAGGAAGAATCCAAGGGCTCAGAGAAAATGAGAAATAATCACCTGGCTGACTCTAATAACTAGGTATCATAAATAAAAGATTTAAAATGAATAGAACTGCCTTGATTTATCAGTTTGGATAGAGACGGTACTGTTTCAGGCCAACAGGTGTCATCAGTCGTACTCGGAAAGCTAACTTATTATTGTCCACCAAATCCCACTAATCGCAAGATCTTGTATGACTAATAATTATTTCATTTCATCTGTGCTCTACTCTAGGAAAATGTTTGTCTGTTAATATAAATAGAAAATTTATTTTGTCAAGATGTTATGTCGGTTCTGTCATGTCAACTATAACACTTCAGTCACATCGGATTTTTTGTCAAATATTTATATGGAATGTTTTTGTCCACCTGATATGTGTAACCCCAGTCGAAGAATCAATCAATTTTTCAGATATTTTCAAAATGTCATTTGTATTAGGTGTGAAAGTACGTCTCCATCTCTGTTTTCGAAAAACCGAGTGCGACTGATGAGACTTTGAATGTCTAAACAGTTCTGTTAAGGCATCGCAAATATCACCTGTAGGTGGAATATTCCTTTCTTCAGATTATTTGGGATTTTCTCTCCTCAGTGGCGTGCCCAGGATTTTTTTCTGGGGGGAGTATAATGACAAAAAACACACTCCTCGTATCCATGAATAAGAAAATGATGATAAGGTTGACAGTTTTTTATTTTTTTATCACAAAGACATGAAGTAATTAATTATTCCGACAGCACTTTTGTTGCATTGTCAAATTGCAATGTTGCCACATTTACATCACTACCTAGTTTCCTTCAACAAGAAGTCTCAGTCGTTATTTTAATGAAGTTATTTGAAAATTCTAATGGGGGAGACCACTGATTTTTTGAAACGACATTATCGTGAACTCTATACTGAAAAACTACCAGTGAATTAATTTTGAATTTTTTCATTCATGCTAAGACGATGAAAAAAATAAATCAGAATATGTCCATTTCTAAACACACAATTCCTGCGCCATTTGAAATTTTGTCAATTCATTGGTGAGACTGGTGCGACGTCTTAGTCCCAACACGCCTATTGTCCTTGAACTCACCAATCTCACTGCAACACTGCAGAATGACGAGGTATCAGAGAGAGATAGCTACAGTGCGGGATGAATACGTCACAGCTCCACCATCATATTTGGCTTTTCGAAATAACGAATGAAATATGCTGATTTCAAAACGATATAGATTCGATTCCCTTCAACTTCAACTCATAATATTGATTGTAGATCAAATGTAAATCATGATTCGTCGATTGAAAGAGGTTTACACGGATTTCTGCCCTCAGTGGTCTTCCCCATTCTTATAGATTTTGTTACGGTTTTTGTATGTCTAGTTTTCATCATCAGTTTCGTTTTATATTGTATCATACCATTGTATCTGCTATTAGGTCTAGAACATTTCATTAACAATAATTATTCATATATTGCTTTGATGGGTTAGGCACCGTATTTAGACGAATTATCACCAAGAAAAAGTATAGTTCTTCAGCTTTATACTAAAATTGTGCATGTTGTTAACAACTGAAACATAACCTATTGTAAATATAAATTGAAAATATCTTGGTGTTTCCGCTTCTATTAACATTTTTTTTCTTTCTGAATAATCGAAAATGATTCCTAACCAGTATGGCCGTCTACGGAATGGAGTTCGGACATCGTCTTCGTGATAATATATAAACAGTCTCCAGCATGTCTCGAATTGTTGAAAAAAGTTCTCTACGATGAGCATGAAGATAAATGTGAGCTGCGGCGCTGCTGCCATCTTTTATCGAGTAATAAATTTGTCTTGAGTGTGTTTGTTTCATTTGTTACTTTCGTTTTGTCTTGTGTGCTTTATGTAGATGTTATTTTAGCTTAGGCATTGGATTATTTTGTCAAAAACTATTTATGTTTCTTCATTGTTTATGGCATAACATTTTTCAGGAAGTACTGTTATTTACCATTATTTTCCTTACAAGAAATTGTACACCCTCAAATTTATAGTTAACATAATTTGAAACTACCATCTGTGGTAGTGGTAGTTCATCAATTTTTCAAGATTGTTGATGATCAATAAGTTATGATTCTGAAATATTTTTGGCAGAATTTTCACAATGTTGTAATTTCATATTGAATTCAATTTATCAGTGATTGTTTTTTTGACTAATTTCCACAGTTGATAGTGTGAATTGTTATTGAATTTTAGTTTTCTGATAATACAGGGTGATATCAAAATGAATACATAGGATTTTTACTTTGAAACTGGAATAAGGTTCAAAGTATACTGTCAAAAGGAACCATTAAATAGGGGTCAAAATGAAAGGACCCCGCAAATTTCGAAGGTAAATTGAGTCTCGGTGGATTTTTCTCCATTTTTGGTATGATGTAGTTCATTTGGTTCTGTTTTTTTTGCCAGAGGGGTTTGAATTCACATTTTGATCGAATTGACCATTTATTTCTGAGAAAATGAACGATATTCCAAAACTTTTTATTCCATTTAATTACTTCGAAAAATAGATTCTTCATAAAAAAAATATAATGGGGGGAATTATTTTCTCCAACCCCAATTTAATTAAAATGAGAATTCAAACCCCCCTGGCAAACAAACGGTCCATTTTTGGGGGTTAGCTCAGTGAAAATATTTTCTAGAACCACATGAACTACATCATACCAACAATTGAGAAAAATTCATCGGGACCCAATTCACCTTATTTGCGGGGTCCAAATTTGGGCCAAATTAGGTTTTTTTTTCAAATTTGTTATTCAATTTTCATGAAAATTCTTAAGGATATTCGTCAGACTGTATCAAATTGATGTGTTTAGTATGTGTACTCATTTTAAAATCACCTCGTATATTTATATTGACGTAAATTGATATTGCAGTCCAGGTAATAATGAGTGAAAAAAATTGTGGTTCTTGATGGGCGTTTTTCTGAATTATTTTTTCTTAGAACGGAAGAAGTAGTGGCGAACATCCTAGACAAAGCGTCTTGCCGGATCTTCTTAGCCAAGCCAGTGGTAGTCCTGGTACCCCTTCTGCTCGAGATAAGTCCACAAATGAAGAGGTGTGTATATCGTTTACTTTACTTTTTTCATTTTACATGTCGAAGGATGTCTTCGGTAACTTTTTTCAATTCAGTAAAAATTGCTCACAACGATAATGGGGAAGTTTCCTTCAGATGAATTTTCATAAAATAAGTTCGGAACTTCTCAGTCCACGCTGTACAGAATGGCGATCGATAAAGTCCAAGTCAATGTTATTTTCAAAATAAAGCAATTTCCAATTCTCGGAGCGGCAAATTGTGACGTACATTCTGAATATAGCTGATGAAGAATAAACCTAGCGGATAGCTAACGAATTAAAAAATAATGAAAAAATAGAAGAAGAAGAAGAAGACAACTTGGCGTCGTTGTTGATGCTTATATCATGAAAAAATATATACCGGGTGTCCCAGTATACCTGTTCCAATGGATTATCTCAGTCATTTTGAAAGTAACAAATTTGCAAATTTCATGATCTCCAATTCGTTCAAGGAACCTTCAACTGAGAAAAACGAAAATTGAAAGTCACTTCCGGTTTGACCGGAAGTTACTCCAACTTCTTTATTTCAAATAGCACCCTGTATATTTTTTGCAATTTTTGCTTTCTACTCAAAATTGCCTTTCCAACGATGTATCACACTTTGTATTTTACATTTGATATGACGAAGAAAACGACAAATTGGAATTTGGAATTAAAATCAGTATCATATCCCAATTTCTATTGAATTGTGAAGCTATCATATCATTTTCACGGTTATTCATTCTTGAATGTCGCACACAACCATTGAGAATTATTAACTGTCGAAGATACAAAAAAAATGTATTCAAATGTTTCCATGTCACACTAAGGTTTTCATTTAAGAATGATTAATTCTTCCAGTTCTACTACATATTGCTATAATAATTTGAAATTAGACGTTCTCTTCATCATTTCGAATGCAAAATTGTTCATGAATCATCCATTATTGAGGACCAAATCATTATGTACACAAAATATCGTCTACTGCAATTCTTTCGATTTCAAATTTCAATTTTCGTTTTCTCTATCAAATCAATTGTAAAATGCAAAGTGTGATACATCGTTGGAAAGGTAATTTTGAGTAGAGAGCAAACATTGCAAAAAATATACAGGGTGCTATTTGAAATGAAGAAGTTAGAGTCACTTCCGGTCAAACCGGAAATGACATTCAATTTTTGTTTTTCTCAGTTGAAGGTTCCTTGAACGAATTGGAGATCATGAAATTTTCAAATTTGTTACTTTCAAAATGATTGAGATAATCCATTGGAACAGGTATACTGGGACACCCGGTATATAGCGACATAGGCTAACGAATAATTGGAGATCAAAAATCGACTCAAGCAAAACTGGTGAACAAAAACATACATAACCACAAAATAGATTCAACTCTTGATGTGCCTGTCAGTATTTTGTGTGGTGTGGACGGGCTAAAAGTATTAGGCGCTGTTGCAAGATATAATCTGCTACTTTTCCTAGAAAGTAGATCAGTAGTTTTGTAAAGAAACGAGTTGCAAAAAATATGGCTGACAAGTTATGATTATCATTTTGTAATATAACGAAAGTGAAAAATCATAGATACTATTGAAAAATATCAGAATTTCTCTTTATTAGTAATCAACTTAATCCAGCAAGGATTGAAAACCTATTATATCCCATTGCTGTTATGATAATAGTAGTTATGAGTTATAAAGTATTCAAAGAACACTTTACGGAAATCTAGACATATTGATGATGCCGGCAACGTCGTACTGACACAGGGAATTTCAACTCTGTGTGAATGTGGCTTTTTATAAAGTACATCATGAGAATGGTGAAAGAGCCAAGTTAATTTTTCATTTATTTTTTTCGTTAAGTGAAATTTGATCTTACGAAAAAATTCGAAAATACGAATATATTAAATTTTTACAAACTCCACATTGAGATGAAAACCTCAATGTTGGAAACTTCCTCATCAAATGTAGAAATAACACAAACAATAAGATTTCCACAAGATTCTCGAGAAAACGACATGTTTCATTAACAAAAAACATTGATAAGAATTGGCTTAATTTCTACATGAATAAGACTCTCTTAGAACAAATAACATGTTGGGAAGGTTTATCAAAAATGATAAAGGCAAAACTTCTCAATAGAATAATACAAAAATATAAAAGTAATGGCTGAGTCAGTTGAAAATCAAGAAGGTTGCTTGATTCGTTGAAGTTTTCATTGCTCTTCAAGTCTCAAGTTATTTTCTTCCTTTTCAACTTAGGTAGCCTATAATAATTGGGCAAAAAAACCCAATCTGAGAGGGTCATATACGAAATTTTCTAGAACAAATTGTGGCATCATACAGGGTGTTTCAGAGTTGTGACGACAGTGGGAGATTTTTCTCAATAAAATATGAAAAAAAGTTCATATGAACATGGGTCCGGAAAGTCTTTCCGAAATATAGGGTGTCGAAGTTTAGAAAAATGAGTTGAAAAAATATTTCTCACAAAATTTGAAGATCGTATACATTTTAGAGAGGGTATTGAATTTTATGTTTTTTTTTTTTTCATAATAATGATGTGCAATTCTTGGATAATATCTGAGTATTTTTATTTTTCCTCATGGAGTTCAGAGATATGCCGAGGTATGTTATTGTCCATTTGGAAACGACGCAAGATGCGAAAAATAGCAAGAGATAAATGTTTCATTTCCAGTAGGTTCATCTGAATATTTGAGAAGAACTCAAGACAAGAAACTATTTTTTTTAACATGGAAACGAAAAATTTTCGGACCCATATTCATATGAACTTTTTTCATATTTTGTTGAATCTCCCCTAGACTTGTCACCACAACTCTGAAACACCCTGTATTCAATTTTTTCAGTCACAAGCGTGTTGTTTGAATTCACAGTTCTTCTCTTTCACTACATTAGATTTTTCGTTTGTCAACTTTATAATTCAGTGGATTCTGATTGATTGAATAAATAGACATCCTTCAGTATTTTCGATGATCAAGTTTTTTATTACGCACTTTCCAATTTTCAATGTATCATAATATGTTCGTCTGGTTTTGGGCTTGTGTTGAATTCGTTGAATAGAAATCAGGGGGTTTTTCTCGTAAAATATTTTCCATTAGAATTCCTATAAACCAATATCTGAAAATTTCTCTGAACAACATGTTTCTGCAGTTTTTAATGGCATTTTCTCATTTCTTTGATTTTTCAATGTGTTGATATTTTTCATGTTCATATTTCGCTATGTTCTGAGAAAAAAAATGACATACCCCGAGGATGCCATCGAAATCTCCAGAAGAGAATTTCCTGAAATTATGTTTTGTCTTAAAAGGAACAATAAAACTATTATTTTGTTGATGAAAAACCGCTTGGTATTTTCAAATAATTTTCACTGCATTCATTGGAATTATATCGAAATTAAAGATATTGGACTTTTTCCTGAGTTTTCTGTTTTATAATTTGGATATAAAAAATTCAATCATTGAGCAATAATGGAATTTGAAGTCAACTAAATGCTTATGGTTGTGATACATTTCTATATGTTTGTTGCTAAATATTTTAATGTCTTTCTCTTTGGTTTTTGCCTAACGAGTGACGTCCATAACAACATGTGTCATTTTTGAGATGTAAGTATAAAAATTCAATGTCGTAGTATTTGCAATTCACTTTGTTTTGATGCTGATACATTTATAAGGAAGTAGAGTAGAAATAATATGCTTTGTTCATTGAAATGTATTCATTTTTTGCCTTCTTTTTCTTCCATCAATCATCAAATTTTGAATGGGAATATTATTTTCTTTTTAACCATGCTTAACCTACTTTCATCAGAACAGGTACAGGCATTTTTAATACAAGAGAACGTGTATTTTTTATCATATTCCAAAATAAAATGTTGAATTTGTAACTGATGTTGAAAATGTCTGCTAACTTTCATAATGTGATGTCATAGGAGAATTTCATTATTTATACATGATTGAATGAAGTATGTTCATAGATTGATATGTTAAGGTAGCATAGAATTTTTGTATTCGTACATTTTTGGTTTTGGAAAACTAACGGGAAAGACTCATTCTCATTATAGTTTTGACTAACCTGATATTTCTAACATATAACATTGTTTCTGTCAATTATTAATTCAGAAGCTTTGTTACTCACTAGTTCTTAGGTCGACTGTGCTTGTTGCCTGTGAATGTACTCAAATAAATTATAGCTAGTCATCATAACATTTCAGAATATTTGGATTTTTGCCCAAATTACTTTTGATGCAATTTATTTTTATTCCTGAGTGTGTTTATCTTCTGATTTGAATCACATGATGAGGAGTGTTTTTTCAGTTCAGGCAGCTTAGCGTTCAAACAACTTTTTCTATTGAAAATAATGAGTGTAAGTGAACATGATTTTCGTGAGAGTATATCTTATTAGTTTCTGTTTTGGTTGAAAATAATGATCTTTTTTCTGTGACGGGAAAAAACTTTGGCATTTCATCTCTGTTGGCAGGTTATAAAATGTCACTTTTCATAAATAACTTTTTTCCCGTGGGAAAAAAGTGAGTACTTTTTTCCCGGATATATATCACATATATATACACTGTTGCTGGCTTTTGTTGTGCTATAGTTCCGAAAAATGAGTCACTAATACCGTCTCCGAGAATCAACTGCAAGTCCTTTTATCTTCCATTCGACTTCGCGGTTACGTATATTACTAAACAACCACTAAATTCTTAATTTTTTGAAATCAAATCACAGAATTAGACTGACAGAAGTGACATCGATATTTGATTACTTCGAAAGAATGATAAAGATGCCTACGACGCAGGTGTCCCTACTGTTGAATACTTGAAATTTCACGTCGATCATTTTCAGATTTCAGAATAATGTGATATCTTCTCAATATTGATTCGTCCTCTCTTCTGTCACAGAAAAAAATAGTGTATATACACGGGAAAAATATTAGATTTTAGCTCACGGTTTTTTGTCTTCCTCCGCTACGCGTCGGGATACAACACAACCTGGAGCTAAAATATACTACTTTTTTTCCTTGTATAATAAATAACTATTTATTGTTTTGGATTATGAAACAAATGTGTTTTTATATTTCACCATGTATTATTCTCATCAAAAGTGAATTTGGGTAGATATTCATATTTCAAATATACTTTAATTCGTCAATACCTCTTAATTGTTTGATATCCAGATGGAGTGATATCATTTTCGTTTATGGTAGAAAAAAAAAACTGAAATAATTGAAAAAAGAAAGAAGTTCCAAAGTCCTATGTTCATAATACAAGACTGTCATCGTCATTTTTTATCAGATTTTGAATAATAACAGATATGATGGTTCGAAAAACACTGAGAACATGTGCGAATATTCTTTCGACGCAAACTGAATCATTTTTTTTCAATTTCCAACACATTTCACTGAAAAAAATTGATCAGACATTAACAATCAGATATATTACATCTCAAATCAAAATGTTCTCATGCTTTGTTCGATCTTGAAAATATATCCATCTGTACCAATTTGTAATGTTTTGCAATCCAACACTTCTCTTTTTCGTTCGTTTGAAAGAATGGCGGAGTAACAGTATACTACTACTATATCTATTGAAAAGTACATTGAATATTTGTTTACATTCAAGTTTCCATGCATTCTATCGAAATTTTAGTGGTCATTGTGATATTTTTCGAGTTCGAACTCTTCAGTAGAGTATTAAATCATTGTAGCTCCGTTTCACATGTTATTCATGAAAGTTTTCTCACTGTATTTCACAAAAAAATGGTAATTTCAATCAGTGTATAAATGAAAGATTTTCTCCCAACTTCGAGATTTAATGCAGTTGCAGTTTATTCCCAGAAGTGAAAAGTAACAGTATGTTCAATTTATTATACTAGGTAGTGAAACATACTTTATTGAACAAATATCTGCTGAAGAACTCCCTCGAATCACAAAAGTACACAAATAAACAGTTTTCTTTGCTCAAATCGAAATACTACACACCAGCTTCTAAACCATTTCAGAACAAGTACTTTCACACACTTCCACAACCGGCCTCTTTGGCCCTGCGATCTCAAATTCAGTCGCCTATAGTGAATATTAGACAGCCTTGCATTTGTATCATGTGAAATTCGGATTCAACCGACACGTTCTCACCATTCCGCGACACCGTTCCCGTCAAAACTAACTTCGACTCTCTATCTCGTTCTGTTGCAGTTCCTCATCACCCCGCCCATCTCCTCCTCCTCCCCCCACCACCCGCATCCTCCCAACTCCTCCCCCCACCGCCAGCCGCATCCGAACGCTAACGCTCTGGCGCTCCAACAGAAGCAGCGCTCCTTCCTGGCGTTCGGCTTCGGCGCAAGCTCCGCCCCCTCGAGGAGGGAGTCGCACGTCAACGTCAACGTCACGCCCACCTCGCACGACGTATCGTCGGACACGCCCGAGATCAGGAAGTACAAGAAGCGGTTCAACAGCGAGATACTTTGCGCCGCGTTGTGGGGTCAGTATTAATGCTATATGACGGTTTTTTCATAAGAATTTGTTTTGACAGAGACTGTGTCACGCCTTCGATGAACATTACCACGCCTTATTCCTCCCGCCCATCGCTACGCCTGATTCGCTTCACCCACAAGTTTTGTAGTTTTTACTAGAGTAACTTTATGAATAGGGTGACGACAATATTGGTACACTCTTTGATTGGTCAGCCTTCTAACATGGAAGTGCATCCACCTGTCTTGTAATCTCTTGGAGAAGTCCAACTCAAAGTAGTACAGTGGTTTATACTGAATAATACACAAAGTCATCTCCACGACATTTATTGTGAATTCACAATGAACCCGTGAGTTCTCATAATAAATTGTCGTGGAGATGACTGTGTATTATTCAGTAATAACACCTGTCATGTTTTCTCCATTCAGTTCTACGCATTCTATTTCACTTTGTCAATGCTTTGTCTCTGTTTCTTGTTCTTTGGACACAAAACATCCAACAATCAGATATGAAACCTTATACGTCAGTTCCTTGGCTATCAACTATGAGAATCTGTCTTTTGGGACTTGAGTCTCAGATTATTTGGATGATGAAATGAAAATATCAATTATCTAAACCTAACATCAGGTGGGCACTTCGAAGGCGTGAATTCATTACTGCATGAGAGGTACCTTCACATTTTTAGCTATTCAGTTACTTGACCGCGAATGACATTCCGAAAATGGCAGTCATTTGGAGGTCTATTGTCGTCAATCTATTCAATCTACTCATTCTAGTTCCCGCTACCAAACAGCGTCTTACTTGCCCAGCCCACATCCCAAACCACGCTCTACTCGCCCCGCCCACATCCCAAACCACGCCTTATCCATACTCCTACATTTCACACCCACTTTTTTCCATCCACAATCTGCTATTATTTTAGTTCTTGATCTTTTCTTAGGTCAATTGTTCTTTTCTAAGGTGAAATGTTCTCGCTTTGCTCGTTGTACTCCAAACAACGCGAGCGATAAAGTAGTGTCTTATGAAACTTGTAAAATAATATATTATTCATTGACCCCCTCACAACCTAACCACGCCTTCATTCAACACACCCAAATCTAAACCACTCTTGACTTGTCCCGCCCATATTCCACTGCCACACCTTATCGGTCCCGCCTACTTGTTGCTTGGTAATATGGCCTTTATGAGTATTCGTTTTTTTTTCTCAATCGACTTAGATACATGAGCGAGTAACAGAATGAATTAATCGATATTTTTTGTTAGGAGTTAACCTACTGATAGGCACGGAACACGGCCTGATGCTGCTCGATCGGAGCGGTCAAGGAAAAGTCTACCAGCTGATATCGCGCAGGAGGTTCCAACAGATGGAGGTGCTTGAAGGGCAAAACATCCTCGTCACGATATCGGGCAAGAAAAACAGGGTGCGCGTGTACTACCTCAGTTGGCTGAAGAGCAAGATATTGAGGACGGACGGCGTCAGCGATGTGAGCGTAAGTGCTTTTCTGATACATACAGAACGAGAGGTATACTATTTACAGTCAGTTGAGGCGATGGAGAAGTTTACTTCAGATGAATTTTCATAAAATAAGTTCGGAACTCTCCAGTTTTATGTCCACCCTGTACAGAATGGCGACCGATAAAGTCCAAGTCGTTTTCATTTTCAAATTGAAGCAATTTCTAATTTTCGGGGCGCCAAACTGACGTACATTCTGAATCTAGTCTGAAAATAGCTGATGGTGACGAATATAGCTAGCGAATAACTGGCAAACAAAAACATACATAACCACAAAGTCACTCGGAGCAGGAATGCAGAGGGTAGTTGGCTTCATTCTGACAGGTTAGGGTTTTGTAATGCAACGTCGTACTGGCAAAGGGAATAGTATTTCAACTCTATGTGAATGTTGATTTTCAGAAAGTACGCCATAGGAATGGTGGAGGAGCCAAGTTTCTCTTTTATTTATTTTTTTCTGAAGTGAAAAGAACAAAAAATACGTATATATTGATTTTTTACAAACTTTACAGTGAGATAAAAACTTCAATATAGGAAGCGTCCCTATTCTGTTTTTAAAAATGCCGGTTAAATTTTTGTTCGGTGTTACATTAGGACTTAGCAAAGACTTTACCAACATTCCTGAGTAACCTATTTTCGTTTCACAGCAAGTAGAACGCAGGAACGGCTGGATAAACGTCGGCGATTTACAAGGCGCCGTCCATTTTAAAATCGTCAAATACGAACGCATCAAGTTCCTCGTGATCGCTCTCAAGGACAGCATCGAGATTTACGCTTGGGCGCCGAAGCCCTATCACAAGTTCATGGCCTTCAAGTCCTTCAGCGACCTCACCTACAGGCCCTTGCTGGTGGATTTGACGGTGGAGGAGGGCTCCAGGTCAGAATCTTCCTTTTTTTGAATTGTCTGATGAGTTATCTACTTCGGCGACTTGTTTCACATCAATTTATATTATTTGATTCAAATCACTATTGAAATTGAAAAAAAATCTGTTGATTTTTGCTCTAGGTTGAAGGTGATCTACGGCAGCAGCGAGGGTTTCCATGCTGTCGATTTGGATTCGGCCAGCGTCTACGACATTTACTTACCCAAAATCGTGAGTATTTTTTTTTTCATCACAACCTCGATTATTCACACTAAGAAGATAAACCATCGTCATGAGAGCAATGGAGCCAGAAATTTTATTCAGTTGGTGGCGGTATCTTTGAGCGACAAAGTGAACTATTTTTTGTTGAGTAGCGAACGGTAGAGATCGGTAATGCAGAATGTATTCAATGTTATTTTTAGATGTTTTTATGCAAAAAGGAACGTTATCTAAGTTGGTTATCCACCTGATTCAGAAAGAAGGCTATATTCCTATATAAATTGGGCGTCAATTGAAACGTTAATAGTGAAATTTGGCATCAAGTTTGACTTTTCGTAATTTCTAAAATATTGAACCAATTTTGAATTGCCGCCCAGATTCTGAATGCCTATTTCATCGTCTTTCGAACCGTTCCTTACAGCTTCTTCTAAATTGATCAGGACCCGTGATACAGGGTGAAACAAAGTTTCGTGCATTTTGAAAAAAAATTCTCCGCCCCCCCATTTTGTTGGAAGACCACGATGCTCATATTTTATTCGGGCATTTCATAAATAGCAACCATACCTCGGGACGTTTTCGAGTTTTTGCCAAAAACTACTGTGGTTTCCGGAAAAAAAATTTTTCTTTGTATTTTTTTAAATGGACTAATTTTAGAGGAGTTCCATAAATGGATGCTTTTATGCATTTCAGGAAAGCGTTGGAGCAGATACCAGGTTACTCAAAAACAATCAATAATTTATTACTTCGCAGTCTATGATAAAAGTCTACCTTAGTGAGCAGTAAATCAACACATCTCATCAACAAAAACAAACAACGATACCTTGTTTCTATAACAACGTATTGTTGAAACAATGTAGGTATGCATAGAGGTTATATCAATTGCCAATTTTCATGAAAATGTCAGTGTAATTCGGGTCCTAAAAAATTTAAAGATGCCTCGTTCAAATCGGGTCTAAATCATTTGGTAAGATAATTATAGTGATATAAACTATAATTCAGTACAGATAATTATTATTTCAGGTTACGACGATTAGGATACACCCAAACTCATTTAAGTACCATTTTCAATAAGTCAGTCATGACAATAAATAGACTGATTCATCGTTTTGAAGATACAGGTATTCAGGACATTTAAAAAAATGCAAAAAAAACTATTGTTTTCGGAAACCACAGTAGTTTTTGGCAAAAACTCGAAAACGTCCCGAGGTATGGTTGCTATTTATGAAATGCCTGAATAAAATATGAGCATCGTGGTCTTCCGACAAAATGGGGGGGCGGAGAAATTCTTTTCAAAATGCACGAAACTTTGTTTCACCCTGTATCACGGGTCCTGATCAATTCAGAGGAAGTTGAAAGGAACGGTTCGAAAGACGATGAAAAAGGCATTCAGAATCTGGGCGACAATTCGAAATTTGTTCAATATTTTAGAAATTACGAGAAGTCAAACTTGATGCCAAATTTCACTATTAACGTTTCAATTGACGCCCAGTTTAGTTGCAACTTGCAGATAGATGACTCCAGCAGATTTTGGGATTATAGGCAAATCGGTTTTTCTCTAACCCTGCCTACGAGCCAGCCAAGAACTAAGGCCAAATTTTGCATGGTGGAAAATCTTATTAGTGTGAATAATTAAGGAATCTGTTTTTGTAGGATTAAGTTCTCCTATTTTTTGCGTCTCTAATGAGTGCTATAATGATAGACAACATTAATTTGTTCATCCAAGGTTGCTAGGATTGAACTTGTCATGAAGATTTGTTAATGGTTCTGAATTATTTTCCCCTGTCTTTCATCAATTGATATGTCAACTGGAGTTGCAGAACATAATTTCCAGTATGTATGTTCTACAAGATGAAGATTATTTCAACAGACTGTAGAACTTATCAAAATAGACAAAATCACATGAAATTGCCCACATAAAAATTGCAAATTAACGAAGTTCAAAGACACACCGATAGAATTGGCCCTATGACGGTCCTGGTATATATTCACCATTTCGGGTGGTAAAAACCTTCTCACAATTATGTTCTTCTATTCCATCAAACACCCGTATCACGACACCTTTGGACCTTATTAACGAACAAATATTTACGTGTACAAACTAAATGCTTCTGCTGCACTTTGGCGACATTCATCATAAATCAACAGCATGTGAACAAGTTCATTATTTTCTAAATTGTTTGACAATGCACAGAAAAAACGATTTAGAAAGAGGAACAAATGACTAGCGCTAGACTAACAAAATTCCAATGTGAATGGTAGTGGGAAACGGAATCAGTCGGGTAATCACCAAAGAGAGATTCGTGCAGCCAGGACCGTAATGAAGTTATTTCAATGTTCAATTGATCATATGTCCGTTAATATGCAACTTTGATTTGAGACGATATTGGATCTTTATATTTCCATGAATTCTACATCCTCTTAAAAAATGCTCCACCTTGGAGAACGCTCTGTATTATAACCCTGCAAATAATAATGAATTGGATAATATTAAAGTTGTCAGCAATGGAAATTACATTTGATTTTTGACAAGAAGTCAAAACTTCACTGTTATTTCATGCTAAAAAACTAGAAAGAGTCTGCTAACAGAGTAACAGAAAGAATGAGCAAACTTAACGATAAAATAAGCCTACCTCAAATATACCTAGAAGAAGACCAAGATAACATTATCTACTCAATAAGAGAAGACCTAATCGCCAGAGTGATGCTCAAAATCGACGAAATCGTCATCCAACAAAAATCCATAGAATTCATCGTGGACATAGCTTGCGAAGCACTCATGAAGTTCGTCTCGATGGAATTTTATTTCCACAACCCTTTACCTGATCCGTTGAGCTTTGCCTGGGTACCAGACGAACCCATACCACCTTCACCACAGGACACTTGGGCAGTCAAAAGAGTACCAATACGTCCGAAACAGAGAGAAGTTATAGAAGAAGAGATAGTTGAACCAGAGACTCAGAAGTGTCAGTGTGAGCTGGGGGTTAAATGTGAATGTTACCTAAAGGCAGAGGAGAGAATAAGGGAGCAATTGGAAATGCTTGACCAATCGACAAAAACTCGAGTGATTGATAATGTGAGTAGCCAGAAAGAATCCAGCTTCACCTCTTCCACGAAAACTTCTTCCATTAGCAAACATTCTGTTGCCACGCCGAAAGAGAGCGCTTCAGTGATGTCCCAACGGTCGAAGCAGCCCTCCTCCGTCTGTTCTCTGAAAGAAGGTTATTCCAAAATAGGTATCGCTGTCAAGCCGGTGCAGTTGCCAAAGTTGGACATTTCTCAGCCGGTGAGACCTCTGCCTACTTCTAAGTTGGTGGAGCTACCTCCGATAAGGATAAATGCCAAGTTCGAGTCGGCTCCGGAAATAGCGAAGGACAAAAAGAAGAAGAAGAAAAAGAAATAGTTGTCCACTTGTTTTCAACTTGACTTATGATTAATCCAATTGTATTACATAAAATGTAGTTATAGAAGTTTCAGTTGGTTTCTTTCTGTTTTGTTTCCACAACCCTTTACTTGATCTGCTGTGTAAAGCTTGGTTACTGGGTAGTCAGAAGAGTACTTATACGTCTCAAACAGGAGGAAGTTATAATAATTATTGATAGGTATATCACTTCCCAACTGTTGCTTTCAATTTGACACTTGTTACCTGTTGCTTTCAACTCGACGCTGGTTACCTGTTGCTGTTAACATGTCACTTACTACATTACCAGTTGCTTTCAACTTGACAATACTTGATGTCATTAGCGGTGGAATGTCGAAATGTCAGAACGTGATTTGATGTATCTCCATGACTTTGAAAATCCGCGATTGCTCATTATTTTTTTGCCGTTGTTTCAGCCCCAACATGGAATTAGTCCACACTGTATAGTTACTCTACCGAATACGAATGGTATGCAGCTTTTACTGTGTTATGACAATGAAGGTGTATATGTGAACACCTATGGTAGGATATCCAAGAACATGTTGCTTCAGGTAAGAATACAATGGACAATGGATTAAATATACAATAGTTTCTTCAAAATTTTCTCTGAAGTGGTTCAATATTTCAATGATGGGTACAATCAGAACCCCATTCCATCGGAACAGGATTCCATCAAAAACGAAATCCATCAGAACCGTATTTTATCAGAACCATATTTTTGTTGTTGTTGTTCTTTATTACCTTGTTCCATAGGACCATCGGATCCGTAATTCATCAGAACAGTATTTCCTAGCGGCAAAGAATCAGAATGTTACAGAAAACTTCATTAGAATGCCGATTCTATGTTTTGATGTGTTGTAATTTTTAATGATTTCGATAGAGTACCATTCTGACGAAAAACCGTTCTGCTACAACACGGTTTCTATGAATTGAGGTGCCGATGAAGTATGGTTTCTAAGTAACACAGCTTTGCTGATTTATAGCTCTGGTAAAATACAGTTATGATGTTTTACTGTCCCGACAGAACACAGAGAATGCACTTCCATCAAAAATTACAATTCCGATGAATTACATCTCTGATTATTCGCCATCATAATGATTTACGGTTATAATATATCACCGTTCCGACAATCTGACAGATTACTGTCGCGGCAAAATACTGTTCTGACGAATTTACTTTTTGTTAGAATACGGTTTTGTTCAAATACTGTTTCGTCAGAATACGATTCTGATGATATGCCATTCTGATGGAATACGGTTATATCTCATAACTAAGAGATCTAGGATGAACAGAGTTGCCCCAATTGTCAGCAAGACAGTACTGTTTCGACCCACCAGGTCTCATCAGTCGCTCTCGGTCTGCTGACAACTGGGACAACTCTACGCTTCGGGTATATCACCCATTTCGAAGACGCAGGGTATAACATGAAGTTATAGTCATGTTGTAGCCATCTAGTGGCAATAAAGCTCTAAGGTAGGATACAGAAATCGCGACACACACTGTATGGCGCTGTCATCTATAGTCACACGTACAGACCCCTACGTCTATACGTTACAGAGTGGTACTACAAGTAAACCACTCTGCTGACAGATGGCACTACCTGACATACTTGAGTGGAATTTTTCCACCACCTATTCAACTGCTAGATCTCATAACTAAGAGATCTAGGATGAACAGAGTTGCCCCAATTGTCAGCAGGAGCGAGACAGTACTGTTTCGACCCACCAGGTCTCATCAGCCGGCTGATGAGACCTATATTATCTCTTATTAGTTTTTTTTAAACCCATACAAAAATAATACGTAGGTATTGTTCTCCATTACTTTTCATCCCTCATTGGGCCTCTGAAACTATTCAATTATAGAATCAAACCACTTTTGGGTTTGTCGGTTTATATTGATTTGATGGAAAGTATTTATTTCCCTGCAGTTCCTCCACGTATACTCATTCAGATAATAACGAATCACTGTTTGAATATTTTAGCACTCCGGTGACTGTAAGCAATCCTACTTCCCTTAGAAACATTATTTTCTCCAATTATTATAGTAGAAGACTCGGTAGATGATCTCTGATCTGTATGATATACATAATGATTTGTCAATTTAAGACAAATAATGTCACATCATGTCATACTATCTATTCAGAAAATATTTACTTCTTGATAATTTTCGAATATTTCAACGACATATCTTACAGAGGCTATGTTCCGAATTCAACTGGTCAGTACTGCCAGTAGATCCACTGACTCTGCTGAAAATCTGTGTTCCGAAATATAAAATCAAAAATACAGTGCTGTAATTCGGAACACGTTTTCATGGTTTTCATCAGTAGTCAGCAGCAGTTGATCAGCTGGTGAAATTTATCAGTCTGAGTTTCTCGTTTAGCTGAACTAAATAATTTATTAGACTCTTGCTTGACATACATTTTGGAAAGTTAATATTTAACATGGAAGAGCAATCGGTTCTTGTAGCCTTCATAGTTTCTTCGATTGTTGACGATGACGATTCAAGCTCAAGTGATGAAGAATACTTGGAAATTTATGTAATACCTATGGCATTGATGATGATTCATTTAGGAGACATTTCAGGTTTATTCAGATATTTATTTACCCAATGCTGCTTCTTCTTTCGTTACCTCTCCTACTTCATACTCCATATTATTCTCAGCGTTTATTATTTCAATAGCGGGTATGAAAATAATATAATTAACAACGGAAATAAATATTACATTCCTTCCCCCTCTAAAATAATGACAGTTTACTGAAGCCACACTACCTTTTGATACTCAGCAATTTCAGCAGAATGTTGAGTCGAAATATTTGGAATGAATAGTATATCTGCTCACAAGCATCTGTCACATTCAGTGATTTTTCTGATTTCGGAATGAAAAATCAGCAGATTCAGTACTGTCAGTTGAATTCGGAATATAGCCTGAATGCATCTTTTCACCAAGTCAATCGAATTGTCGTTACATACTAGGATAACGATAGTTGTTATCTAACGACTCTTAAAATAACGACTTTTTACTGAATAGGCCTGTAATGATATGCAGCATCACCGACAAATAATGAGAAACCTTGAGTCTCACGAGGAATTTCGCGAATCGGTTGTCACCTGTCACAAGTGCGACTGTTTCGGCTCGTCGAGTCCCATCACTCGCCCTCGTTCTCACCCTATCATTCTCTTGCAGTGGGGCGAGATGCCCACCTCGGTGGCGTACATCGGCACCGGCCAGATAATGGGCTGGGGCAACAAAGCCATCGAGATCCGGTCGGTGGAATCCGGCCATCTGGACGGCGTGTTCATGCACAAGAAATCGCAACGGTTGAAGTTTCTGTGCGAACGCAACGACAAGGTGTTCTTCTCGTCGGCGAAGAGCGGCTCGTCGTGCCAGATCTACTTCATGACGTTGAACAAGCCGGGCATGGCCAACTGGTAGATAGGGCGACGGTTTAGCCGGGCGACCTTGAAAGGACGTTTTGTTTGAGGGAATGGGTGGGGGGTAGTGCCAGATCTACTTCAGGACGTTGAACAAGCCGGGCATGGCCAACTGGTAGATAGGGCGGCCTTTTAGCCGGCGACCTTGAAAGGACGTTATGTTTTGAGGGCATGGTGAACTGGTAGATAGGGCGGTGGTTTAGCCGAGCGACCTTGAAAGGACGTTGTGTTCAAGGAAAAGGGAGGGGGGTGGTGCCAGAGGTTGAGTAGCCGCGGATGAGATATACCGGATCACGATTGTCAGCGATAGGAAATGGGGAAGTTTCCGATATTGAGGTTATTATTTCTCTGAAGTTTGTAACGATTTTTTATTATTCTCTTTAGATCAAATTTCACTTGAGATGAAAAAAAGTACGACGTTGCAGGCATAATCAATATGTCTGGATATCCGGATATTGTTCTTTGAATACTACCATAATACGTAGTTCTGAACTTATTTTATAAAAATTCATCTGAAGGAAACTTCTCCATTATGAATCGGGAAATTTCCGATTTCATGTTAATTGTGTTTCTGTATTTCTTTTTCTGGTATTTTTCTGGTGCTCGCCCCTCTGTTATGTCGGTCGGTCGGGGATGTATAGTGAGTGAGATTGCTGGGAGGGTTAACCTGGTTTAATTTCTGTCGGTTGTTTAGGTTAGGTTTAGACATTTTTTCCACAGGACTAGTCCGTTTGCTCTGAACTACATGGAGAATCATAACTTTTCCACCAGAAGGTACATATTTTTCTATAAAAAAAAAATCGTAATTTCCTAAACTCGTCTGTCTATTTTTTTTTTTTCGGTGTGTAGAGTTATGATTCACCCTGTGTACACCTGATGATATAGTGATTGTTATGATTGTGATTTGCCCGATTTGCCGATATTCAGTGGTCAAATCACGTCTCGAACCTCTGATGAGGAGTGGAAAAAAGACTCTGAGATATGTAAGTGTCAATATTGTAAGTTCCTTTTTCTCCTAGTAATTACTAACAAGTTAACTATAAAAATGTGGCATGTCGTAACAAGTGAAATTGGTGCTACTTCCATATAGATTTTTAGTAAATACATGTTTCCTATAGGTATTTTTGACTAAAAAGTGTTAATCAATTTATTGACACTTCATATTTCGGGAACATCAGGTGTCTTTTTTTATCATGGAAATCCAAAACGAATTGGTTGTAAATTTTCACACGTAGGTACTCAGTTTTTGCTCAAGGAATAAAGGGTGAGATGAATCACAAAAACATGAATTGAATATACAGGCTATCCTTCAAATAACGCCGAAATTTTTACCCGATTTCAAAAATTGAAAGAACAAATTAAATGGTTTGAACACTGAAAATTCATGCAAATATACAATTTTACCAAATGTTTCAGTATATCTTGTCGCTTGATTGAGCATCGAGTTCAGCTTTCCTCAAAAGTCATTGTTTGAAAATTTTATCAAAATTATCGAGTTTGCATTGAAAAACAAAAAATTGTGTCTGAGTGGAATTTTAATTGATGAATCTATTTTTTCTTCTCGAGGATCGTTTAAAATGCCTGACATTGATCTGGATAGATTTTTCTCAGACACATTTTATCAAAATTAATCTAACCCAAAGCAAGAAAAACTCATTTTTCGGTTGCAACATTTGTATCAGTAAAGTTTTCAAACCATTAAACTTGTTTTTTATTAGGAAATCGGATGAAAATGGTGCATTTACTCAATAATCGAAGTCATAACATTATTCATTCTCATAACAGGATTGGAATTCGGGAATGAATTGAAATGTAATAACTAGACACCCTGTTATAATACGTTTTTTCTCTCCGAATTTCTATTCATAATTGAACAGGTTTCCTTCACTCTTTATTCTACTCTACACCTCTTTCAGTTGGAATCAAGAAAGTATAAATAACTAATCTGAATTTTGAGTTAAACTTTCTGAATTACATTTCACTAACCTGAATTATAAGTTACAATTTCTGAATTACATTTCACTAACCTGAATTACATGTTTCACTTCCAGAGTTACAATTGATTCATTCTGAATTATAAGTTACAATTTCTGAATTACATTTCACTGACCTGAATTACATGTTTCACTTCCAGATGTATTCTGAATAATAAGACACTGAATTACATTTCACTGACCTGACTTACATTTCACTGACCTGACTCACATTTCACTGACCTGAATTACATTTCACCGACCTGAATTACATTTCACTGTCCTGAATTACATGTTTCACTTCAAGAGTTACAATTAATGCATTCTGAATTATGAATTACACTCTCTGGATTACATTTCACTATCTGAATTTCAACTTTCACTTTCTGAATTACAATTTACAAACTGAATTGAAATTGACGCTTTCTGAATTGCAATTGGCTTTTCTGAATTATAAGTTACACTGTCTAAATTACATTTCACTTATTTGAATTATATGTTTCACTGTCTAAATCTGAATTACAATTACTTTCTGAATTACAACTGAGACAGGTGCAGTTATGAAAATATTTCTGAAGCTGCAAATGATTATTTATTCATTTTTCGTTGTTTTCGAATATATTATTGTCAGGTGCCAACCATATTCGAGTAGTGTGGAAAACGCTCACTTTGTATAGATAGGTTCGAAAAATCTAGCGTAATGAAAAAAAAATGGATTGCATCAAATGAACATTCCAGGAAAAAAATTAATGGATAAATGGTGATCTGATCTATTTTCGTGGAATGTTTATTTTGTCGTAAAAGATATCTGCATGTTTAGACATAAATTGTCCGACTTTGTACATAGTTACTACAGTTTACGTTAAAGAAAAAAACTAGGATACAATTTCTAATGCAATATAACATGTAGCACTTTGTAAACGTGTTATTAGACAAAATTAGGGTAACCATTTTTTATACTAGTCGAAAACTTTAAGGAAAACAACCCGTTTTTTATGGAAAACAAGTGCAAAACTTACAAATAAATTAATTAAGGTTTCTTATAAAAAAATATCACCTTGCTCATTCGATATTCTAAAAATATGGGATCCACTAAACGCATCAAAATTGCTAAGACAACAGAACTATCGATATCAAAGTTTCGTGACCCTATTCTGTGTGTCAGTTCGTACTTAAAAATGTGTTTTGAATCCAATGAGGAGATATTTCGCCTCCCCCCTGTATTGGCTCATAGGTATATCGCGTAGATACTCATTTATAAATCAAGAGGTATTATGAATTAAGGTTATATTACACAGTGACACTCGAAATCTTCAAACCATGCGAGATATTGGAAAATATATCTAGTTTGCTTTGAACCTAGACAGTGTTTTTGGATCGCCCTGTAATTTTGAGTGGTTATTATTACCTCTGTTTTGTCTAATAGTGGATTCACTGGTACACCTAGGCTGTATTTATTTTGGGAAGGGGGCTCATTGGAGTATATTTTCTGAAAAAATCTAAGAAAATCGCAGTATTTCAAACATTCTGAAAAATTGAGTGAAGTAGCAACACATTATTTTTATTTAAGTTAGAAATTTACAGGGTGTTTCAAATGAATTTTATACAGGGTGTATCTAAATAACACCGAAAAAATTCGAGGGGTGATTTCTTGTGATATTTTAGGAAATGAAGATCCTAACTTGCTTTATTTCGAGATACAGGGTATTGATATTTCCATGAAAACTATTTTTTCTATTCATCTCTCCATTGTCTTTTCATCAATTTTAATTGAACGTTGTGGTTCTGTTAATAGTAATATGGAGCTTCTTCTAGTGCAATTTGATTCGAAATAATATTTCCAGTGGCGTCACAGTGGGTAAAAAGGCCCCGCACTTTCCTTATGGAAAATGGCTTTCGGTCAAATTCCCTGAATTTTTGGTATGGTGTAGATTTTGACTTCCTAAGCAAAAGTGTTCATGGGCACAAAGAAATCTGCTGACTAGTTTTCGAGATACAGGGTGTCAAAGATGAAAAGTGAAGCTTTCTGCTCAGAATTTTTAACAACTCCGAGAATTGACAAAACGGCCATCTATTCATGGAATAACATGCCTGAATGATGGTTCAATGTCATCTGGATCTCGTATCCATTATAATTTTTCGTTTTGGGCTCTACAATGGGGTGAACAAAGAAAAATCCAATTTGATTAATTTTAAACCAACCAGGGTAAGTTCTTTCATGAGAATTAAAGATTCAATTGAGCCTGGACGAACTTCCTCAATCTCGATCGAAGTTTTCTGACATTTTATTTTTATATACATGGCGGTTCAAAAAGAGGGGTACGTCAATCCCTAGTTCTTTGAATCGGAAAGGGGAGAGCATGTCATATATATATCATACATTCTCTAATATTGAAAACGTCGCATACTCAGTCCATATATACATATAGGGTGAAAAAAAAATTCAGTCCAAGTTTCTTGAAAAATGCGGGTTTTTTCAATGAATACCCTGTATTTCGAAAAAGAATCGGTTCATTTTCTTGAATTTTTGATATAATGTACGATTTGAGAAGTCAGAGATATTGTCATCAATATTCATAAGTCTCCGGATTCGTTTGTCGGCTATACAGGCTGATCCACGGTGGATGGCCTATTAGAAGTATCTGGAGAACGAAAACACTGAACATTCTGAAAATTGGGATGCATTGATAATTGAACATTCTCTATCCGTCTAAAATATTTTCATCGATACAGTGTTGCCACTTTTATCAGAGACAACTAGCAACTTCGTTATTTTGAATAGAGCACCCTGTATTTTATTGCATTTTTAGATTCTCCCTGAAAAGCTGATTTCATCAATGTATCACACTTTGGGTCTAGCAGGGATGATTACAGAGATATAGGGTGTTCAAAATCGAGATTTTTCAATTTCAGGATTTTTTTGTGTCGAAAGTATTCATTATTGATCAAAACGGCTTACATGTCCCTATCTTAACTTTCGATTCACTATCTACTGACATTTAATTGGAACAGATACAGGGTGATCAGAATTCTGAATCTTGAAGCACCCTGTACTTTTTCCAATCAAATTCCAGTAGATAGTCAATCAAAAGTTGAAATAGGGACATGTAAGCCGTTTTGATCGAGAATGAATAGTTTCGACACAAAAAAATCCTAAAATTGAAAATTCTCGATTTTGAACACCCTATATCTCTGTAATCATTCCTGCTAGACCCCAAGTGTGCTACATTGATGAAATCAGCTCTTTAGGAAGAACATAAAAATGCAATGAAATACAGGGTGTTCCATTTGAAATAACAAAGTTGCTAGTTGTTTCTGATAGAAGTGGCAACACTGTATCGATGAAAATATTTTAGATGGATAGGGAATGTTCAATTATCAAAGCATCCCAATTTTCAGAATGTTCTGTCTTTTCGTTCTCCAGATACTTCTAATAGGCCCTTTTATGACGTAGAAACCTCATCTCGCCATAGTTGAATGAAAATACCAAACGCCCGACGGAGACTGATGCAACTGATATATTAATTCTTTCAACTGTGATCTCGCGCTAATTCACTCTATCAGAAATCATGTATCATTCATCTCTGTCTGGAATAGTCTTGTTTCAGTATTAGGGTTTTGACGTCACATCATCGCCTCGTTTTCAGAGGTCCAAAAAATCGGGGATTTCAATAATTTTTTATAAAACGTAGGGAGCTCACAGCAAGAAACGGTTTGCGGTGGTGAGCTAGTTTGGGTGAGTTCTATCGAATTATGAAATAAAAATTTGTTGTGATATAAGCCCATTATAATGGATACGAGATCCAGATGACATTGTACCATCATTCAGGCATGTTATGCCATGAATAAATGGGCGTTTTGTCAATTCTCGGAGTTGTTGAAAATTCTGAGCAGAAAGCTTCACTTTTCATCTTTGACACCCTGTATCTCGAAAACTAGTCACTCGATTTATTTGTGCCCATGGACACTTTTGCTTAGGAAGTCAAAATCTACATCATACCAAAAACTCAGGAAATTTTACCGTAATCCATTTTCCATAAGGAAAGTGCGGGGTCCTTTATCATGGTGAATGTACACCACTTGTTTTTCTGAGTCCAAATTTAAATGTAGGTGTTTTCAAGACTTTCATTGAGATTACTCAATAACCCCAATTAGAATCATTTTGAAATTTTGGGGCTTTCTCAGTCCCAATCCATACTGAATTTTGGCACCATGAAAGCTTATACAAGGGGGTTATAAATAAGAACAATTAATACTTCCAACTTCACCATCCTGTATCTCAAAAACGGATCAAGTTAAGACACATGTTTTTATGAACTTTATTTGCTAGAATATCACAAGGAAACACCCCTTGAATTTTTTCGGTATTATTCAGATACACCCTGTATACACTTCGTGAGAGGTTGTCAAAAAAGAGTGAATTCGGACGACTGCACTTGCAAAATAAGGAAACTCCTTGAATCTTTCCTTCTAATAACATCACATATATTTAAAAATAAGAATATTAATTAACTCAAGAAGAGTGTATACTTCTCTTGATAGGATGATCCTCCTTACCATAGCTTAAAGGTGAATCAGTGGTGGATTTGATGTATTGTATCTCCCTTTGTATTTTATATTCGATGATTGCACACAGGTTTCGAATATTTCTGATACGGATGAAAAAAATAATTGATGATGAAAGTATAAAAGTGATGATGATTTTGTGTTTAATATTTGGTGCAATTGAAGACTGTTGTTTTATATAAATTTATTGTTTTGTGTTTCTCTTTTATGTATAGCTAGGCAGAATCTGATTGTGAAATTCGAACTGAATTCCTCCATTTTTTTGAACGATGATTTTTTTTCACTCAGCAGTACTCTTGTTTCTACATGTTTTGCATATGATGCCTTTATTATAAGCATACAACTCTTTTATTGCTCTTTTATGATTATTTCCAAAGAGACAGTAATATGTGTGATTTTTTTTATTATAGTAAATAACAATTTATATAAATATCATTTTATTAATATTATTATCCAAAATATTAAAAGTTATATTATAAAAAGTTGTCTTATTTCGAATACCCGAATACTCTAGACTAAATTGACAGAAACTGAATATACATATTCTTGTTCAGCACAAAGTGAACTATGCAAGCTTTCAGCAAATTTTGTCGCCCAGGACCTGGTTTCTTTTTCGGACCAAAAATCAACTTTGTCGTAGGGCCTTCAAACTTGGTATACATGGTTCTCGAGGGATGCCTTAGTGCTGAGTAGAAGCACAGCTTTCTAGCTTTCCTAATGAGAAAGTTGCAATTTTTTACCCGCTTTTCTTTTCTTGCGGTACCTTCGATATAAAATTGTTCGATCTAGTACCTCAATTCGCTGGAGATAGAATAAGCCATGAGAACTACTGAATTTTTGACAAAACTGAATTCATTCACGTATTTTAGCCACGAAAAGGAATTCTTGGTCATCATTCCAGCGATTCTTCAGCCATTTTTTGTTCAAATTTCAACGCAAATATCTCAGGAACCAAGTGAGATAAATAGAAACAGACTTCAGATTCTTGTTTATCACATCGAGGACATCCTATATACAAGTTTTCAGCCCATTCTAAAGCCTCGAACTATTTGAAAAATGTTCAAAGAGGTTAACCTTCTTTCATTTTCAGGCCAAAAAATGAACTTTGTCGTTGGGCCTTCAAACTTGGTATACATGGTCCTCAATGGATGCCCTAGTGCGGAGTAGAAGCACAGCGCTCTAGACTTCCTAATAAGAAAGTAGCAATTTTTGAACTGCTTTTCTTTTCTTGCGGTACCTTTGATATAAAATTGTTCGATCTAGTACCACAATTCGCTGGAGATCGAAGCCATGAGAACCACTGAAGTTTTGGCAGAATTGCATCCACGTTTCTTATTGCCCACGAAAAGAAATTCTTGGCCATCATTGCAGCGATTTTTCAGCAATTTTTTTTCCAATTTTTAATGCGAATATCTTAGGAACCAAACGAGAAAAATAGGAACAGACTTCAGATTCTTGTTGAGCACATCGAGGACATCCTATATATAAATTTTCAGCCCATTCTGACGCCTCGAATTATTCGAAAAATGTTCAAAGGGGTTAACCTTCTTACATTTTCAGACCAAAAAATGAAGTTTGTCGTAGGGCCTTCAAACTTGGTATACAGGGTCCTCAATGGATGCCTTAGTGCGGAGTAGAAGCACAGCACTGTAGCTTTCCAAATAAGGAGGAAGCAATTTTCGACCCGCTTTCTGTCCTTGCGGTACCTTTGATGTAAAATGGCTCGATCTAGTACCTCAATTCGCTGGAGATCGAAGCCATGAGAATTACTGAATTTTTGGCAGAACTGAATTAATCCACGTTTTTCGCCCACGAAAAGAAATTCTTGGCCATCATTACAGCGATTTTCCAGTCATTTTTTTTTAAATTTTCAATGCGAATATCTCAGGAACCAACCAAGCAGAATAGACACAGATTATAGATTCTAGAAAAGAAATTCTTAGCCATCATTCCAGCGATTTTTCAGCCATTTTTCTTTCAATTTTCAATGCGAGTATCTCAGGAACCAAACGAGAAAAATAGGAACAGACTTCAGATTATTGTTGAGCACATCGAGGACATCCTATATACAAGTTTTCAGCCCATTCTGACGCCTCGAATTATTCGAAAAATGTTCAAAGGGGTTAACCTTCTTACATTTTCAGACCAAAAAATGAAGTTTGTCGTAGGGCCTTCAAACTTGGTATACAGGGTCCTCAATGGATGCCTTAGTGCGGAGTAGAAGCACAGCACTGTAGCTTTCCAAATAAGGAGGAAGCAATTTTCGACCCGCTTTCTGTCCTTGCGGTACCTTTGATGTAAAATGGCTCGATCTAGTACCTCAATTCGCTGGAGATCGAAGCCATGAGAACTACTGAATTTTTGGCAGAACTGAATTAATCCACGTTTTTCGCCCACGAAAAGAAATTCTTGGCCATCATTGCAGCGATTTTCCAGTCATTTTTTTTTAAATTTTCAATGCGAATATCTCAGGAACCAACCAAGCAGAATAGACACAGATTATAGATTCTAGAAAAGAAATTCTTAGCCATCATTCCAGCGATTTTTCAGCCATTTTTCTTTCAATTTTCAATGCGAGTATCTCAGGAACCAAACGAGAAAAATAGGAACAGACTTCAGATTATTGTTGAGCACATCGAGGACATCCTATATACAAGTTTTCAGCCCATTCTGACGCCTCGAATTATTTGAAAAATGTTCAAAGGGGTTAACCTTGTTTCTTTTTCGAACCAAAAAATGAAGTTTGTCGTAGGGCCTTCAAACTTGGTATACAGGGTCCTCAATGGATGCCTTAGTGTGGAGTAGAAGCACAGCTCTCTAGCTTTCCAAATAAGGAAGAAGCAATTTGTGACCTGTTTTTTTTCCTTGCGGTACCTTTGATGTAAAATGACTCGATCTAGTACCTCAATTCGCTGGAGATCGAAGCCATTCATCCACGTTTTTTTCCTACGAAAAGAAATTCTTGACCAACATTCTAGCGATTTTTCAGTCATTTTTTTTTCAATTTACAATGCGAATATCTCATGAACCAAACGAGAAAAATAGGAACAGACTTCAGATTATTGTTGAGCACATCGAGGACATCCTATATACAAGTTTTCAGCCCATTCTGACGCCTCGAATTATTTGAAAAATGTTCAAAGGGGTTAACCTTCTTATATTTTTTGACCAACAAATTAAGTTTGTCGTAGGGCCTTCAAACTTGGTATACAGGGTCCTCAATGGATGCCTTAGTGCGGAGTAGAAGCACAGCGCTCTAGATTCTCTAAAAAGAAAGTAGCAATTTTTGACCCACATTTCATTTCATGCGGTACCTTCGATGTAAAATGGCTCGATCCAGTACCTCAATTCGCTGGAGATCGAAGCCATGAAGAACCACTGAATTTTTGGCAGAACTGAATCAATCCACGTTTTTCGCCGACGAAAAGAAATTCTTGGCCATCATTGCAGCGATTTTTCAGCCATTTTTTTTCCAATTTTCAATGCGAATATCTTAGGAACCAAACGAGAAAAATAGGAACAGACTTCAGATTCTTGTTGAGCACATCGAGGACATCCTATATACAAGTTTTCAGCCCATTCTGACTCCTCGAATTATTTGAAAAATGTTCAAAGGGGTTAACCTTGTTTCTTTTTCAAACCAAAAAATGAACTTTGTCGTAGGGCCTTCAAACTTGGTATACAGGGTCCTCTATGGATGCCTTAGTGCGGAGTAGAAGCACAGCGCTCTAGCTTTCCAAATAAGGAAGAAGCAATTTTCGACCCGCTTTCTGTCCTTGCGGTACCTTTGATGTTAAATGGCCCTATCTAGTACCTCAATTCGCTGGAGATCGAAGCCACGAAGAACTACTGAATTTTTGGCAGAACCGAATTCATCCACGTTTTTTGACCGCGAAAAGAAATCCTTGGTCATCATTGCAGCGATTTTTCAGTCATTTTTTTTCAATTTTCAATGCGAATATCTCAGCAACCAAGTGAGAAAAATAGGAACAGACTTCAGATTCTTGTTGAGCACATCGAAGACATCCTTTATTCAAGTTTTCAGCCCATACTGAGGCCTCGAATTATTTGAAAAATGTTCAAAGGGGTTAACCTTGTTTCTTTTTCAAACATAAAAATGAACTTTGTCGTAGGGCCTTTAAACTTGGTATACAGGGTCCTCTATGGATGCCTTAGTGCGGAGTAGAAGCACAGCGCTCTAGCTTTCCAAATAAGGAAGAAGCAATTTTCGACCCGCTTTCTGTCCTTGCGGTACCTTTGATGTTAAATGGCCCTATCTAGTACCTCAATTCGCTGGAGATCGAAGCCACGAAGAACTACTGAATTTTTGGCAGAACCGAATTCATCCACGTTTTTTGACCGCGAAAAGAAATTCTTGGTCATCATTGCAGCGATTTTTCAGTCATTTTTTTTCAATTTTCAATGCGAACCAAGTGAGAAAAATAGGAACAGACTTCAGATTCTTGTTGAGCACATCGAAGACATCCTTTATTCAAGTTTTCAGCCCATACTGAGGCCTCGAATTATTTGAAAAATGTTCAAAGGGGTTAACCTTGTTTCTTTTTCAAACCCAAAAATGAAGTTTGTCGTAGGGCCATCAAACTTGGTATACAGGGTCCTCAATTGATGCCTTAGTGCGGAGTAGAAGCACAACTCTCTAGATTTCCAAATAAGGAAGAAGCAATTTTTGACCCGCTTTTTTTCCTTCCGGTACCTTTGATGTAAAATGGCTCGATCTAGTACCTCAATTCGCTGGAGATCGAAGCCATGAAGAACCACTGAATTTTTGACAGAACTGAATTCATCCACGTTTTTTGCCCGCGAAAAGAAATTCTTGGTCATCATTCTAGCGATTTTTCAGCAATTTTTTTTCAATTTTCAATGCGAATATCTCATGAACCAAACGAGAAGAATAGGAACAGACTTCAGATTATTGTTGAGCACATCGAGAACATCCTATATACAAGTTTTCAGCCCATTCTGACGCCTAGAATTAATTGAAAAATGTTCAAAGGGGTTAACCTTCTTAAATTTTCAGACCGAAAAATGAAGTTTGTCGTAGGGCCTTCAAACTTTGTATACAGGGTCCTCAATTGATGCCTTAGTGCGGAGTAGAAGCACAGCGCTCTAGATTTCCTAATAAGAAAGTAGCAATTTTCGACCCGCATTTCATTTCTTGCGGTACCTTCGTTGTAAAATGGCTCGATCCAGTACCTCAATTCGCTGGAGATAGGAGCCATGATTTTTTGATGCGAATATCTCAGGAACCGAATGAGACAAATAGAAACAGACTTCAGATTCTTGTTCAGCACATCGAGGACATCCTATATACAAGTTTTCAGCCCATTCTGAAGCCCCGAATGAATTGAAAAATGTTCAAAGGGACCAATAAATGAAATTTGTCGTTGGGCCTTCAAACTTGGTATACAGGGTCCTCAATGGATGCCTTAGTGCGGAGTAGAAGCACAGCGCTGTAGCT